TGTGCCATTTCGGGTCATTTTTTTGACCGACCTGTATATCATTTTTGTGGAGGCATGTTTTCTATACAATATCACAATGACAAGCCATCAAACCCAGAAGAGTTTCTGGTGCTATAAGTAAGCACGCTGATGAGGAATAAAGCTCTACTCTACTCCAAAATTGTCTGTGAATGATGGCTCATTTCCGATGAGTTTCGTTATCTGAACATGATTTTCTTGTAGCTGTAGGATTTATCTTGGTTTCTGTTTACGTTTTGTTTGATTCAGTTGGGCTCTTCATGAAAGGGCTTCATAAATGTATATCAAAAGGGAAAATAGCCGAAGCCTGTAAAGGCATATCGCTAAAATTCAAAAGTTCCCACAGTTTCTAACACAATACTGGTATACACAATAAGTGGCTTATAATGTAATGCACAATCATGAGAGATTTTTCTTTTCTGCACAAATACGAAATTGCTAATAATACCGTAAACAGCACTACTTATGCAAAAAAAGGAAAATGTGTACAAACCACGGTGCATTCAATAAAGGCAAGCATATTAAACATCTATGAGAAGTATAAATAGAGGAATCAGTTATTAGGAAAAAAAGGCTATAGTATCTAGTTCTGAAACTACGGATTGCCCACCCTAGAGCCACAAATCTTACTGGGATAAAAAGAAAAAACAATCCAATTTTACACATGAAAAATGCCATTTTGTTTTTAGTAAGAATTGTCAAGTAACTAGGAGGATTAAAAATCTGAGTAACAAGTGTCATGCTTACAACAATCTCAATCATAATTGACTTGATTTAACCACTATAATTTGTTTATATAAATTTCAGTAACAAAACACGGTAACAGCTTACACCATACACTATATGGCACAATACAAGCTAAAGTTTCCCTTCAAATTCTACCATTGTTTTTCCTAATCTGGGCACATATTATGAGTACACCGCAGTCATGGTGTTGTGCACACTACTACACCTCATGCATTTATCCACATTTAATAAGGAAACTAAATATGTACGAGGTTTAACTCTAACCCTCCTCTATCCTCCTGGCAGTTTTGGAGGATTTTGGAGGATTGAAGATGAATAGTGTTTGAAGAAGAGGATTTTGGAGGATTGAGGATGAATGCATTTTGAGAGGCAGGACTGTCAGACGATTTTGAAGGACTGTGGCGCTAGGTATCCTTCATTTGAACATAAGTGCACAATTTTGGAGGATTGAAGATGGTTCTAACTTCCTAGCAAAAAGAGCATAGGGGTTAGGGTCAATGAAAACCCCCCAACATGTTACAGGCCTGTAAGATGAAATTGCGTCGGGGAGATGCAGTTTTTACATTGGGTCTTGCCCTTCCCAGTACCCGCTGCTACATCCGACTCGGATGACAAATACGCCTACTTCCAAAATTCAGGAAAAATACTCACAACTCGCCAAGGTGTTTGAGACACGTATCAGATTAAAGCTTGTTTCGTTATCGTTCACTTTCTGTTCATTTTTTGGGGGGTTAGCCAGTGACATTTGGGAGAAAAATCAGATATTGACCGTGGAAAATACCGCAGAACATGCATGTTAAGCATTATGCAATGTACATGTACTATACGATCGATCAAGCACGCTAGACATCCAAAACGGCAGATCTTGCAACGTTCACGTGATTATGTAACGTGGATGCAAATCCTCAATAAACTTCTTCTTTTAAACTACTGAAGCTTCTAGCAACACATGACTGAGAAGTGTACAATAACTGTCAGTTTCTTCACATGTACCACATTGCAGAAGTTCAAATACCGGTGCATCTTGAGCCGAATCATAGACGTACCTCAGGTTTAGAAAAACCCCATGGATGCGGTGTACCCATAATGTCCTTAGCATGCAAAGTATTGGACTATGTAAGTGCAACAAGAAAAGGAATTCTCTATTCTGAAATGTAAAAGCATGCATCCATACAATGAGTTAAATATTTACTCTGACATTCCGAATGTTCAATTGAATTTGAGCATGATCAAACAGCAATAATTATTCAACATGCAATAGTACAAGTAGATTCAAAGACGTCCGAGTATTATGGAGTATATATATTAGTGTTGAACGTACACTGCGGAATACATGTATTTACATAGTATTATACACCCTAATACCTAAAGTTCGGATTAGGTATAGGATATTACATGTACTTTATAGTATGGTATTTAGTTTAACTTAGACCAACTGAGAATTGGAATGGACACAAAACTGAAGCATTTTATCAGCAAAAAAATATAAGCAAGGGTGTATTTTAAATCTTACATGAACATGTATGCAAATGCATCAGGTTTGTGTAAGACTGTTCAGATTAGACCAGATTGTTGCGATGATACAAGTTATGAATGAAAAACAAAGCTACTAAGGTCCACGATCACAAGTTGGGTTTTTTTTCACATGGAGATCCTTTTCTTGGGAAAGATCACCAATTTTACCAGCTTGTTCTTGATGAGCACTTCTGAGCCTCGGGGATTCACACAATGTCACATTAAAAACCTAACCACCCCCAACCCTTCAAAATCCAACTGCATGTTTTTTGTTGGAATCTGTTGGAGTGAGTACTGCACTAGTAAACTCATTAAGCTGTTGGATAGCACAAGAGTGAGGAAGGTTCCTGGTAAATCACTGAAGGGGTTAGGGTTAAGTCTTCATCAGCATTCCATGAGAAAAGCTATCAATGAAATAAACCACCATGGGAAACTGGTACAATTTGATCTTTTTCTTAGACATTAGGTTCAGTTTGTTTCTTTGCTGTTTCAGACCAAATTTGGAGTACTTATTTAGCATGTTGCCACAAATCAAGCCAGATTATTGAGAAGATGTGGTTTGATAGGATGCTGCTCAATAAACCAATCATTTTCTTTTGATGTTTGGTGAAGACCAATCAAAAATTAGTTTCATATCAGAAAAATGAGGGTAGAGAAAAACTGGCCAACAAAGGGGGAAACGTCTTTTCTTAAGTACAAACTCTACTCCTTTAATATACATGACAACGAAATCGTTTAACACCTAAAAAGGGCACAAGATGTGTAGCTGAAGGTCTGAAGGTGTAGCATGATTAGCGAGAACAAAATAAATAACTCAGTTCAGAGCCTTTAACCCTAACAGCCTTGAGTAATTTACCAGGATCCTTCCTCACTGTTGTAAAATCCAACACCATGTGGTGACTCAACACCTACACTGTTGGACTATGATTATGGCGGTATGCCTGACCCCATATAAAGCATAAATCGGTTTACTAGTGCAGTCCTCACTCCAACAGAATCAAACAAAACATGCAGTTGGAATTTTGAAGGGTTGGGAGTGGTTAGGGTTAATCAAAATACTATTTTGCCTCATATCACAGGATTTTATATTCCTGAAACAGGACACTGACCAATAGATTGATTGCCTTTATCAGCCATTTTGGAGGTGTCTTTTGTTACATTAATTAACCCTAAACTTGCTAAATGTAACAGAAAGCAACAAAGGTAAAACAGTTGTTGCATACTGTTGCATTTAGCAGGGTAACTGCTTATAGTGCCCAGGTGATACAACAACATCCACTGTTGCTTTTGGTTGCATTTAGTAGGGTAACTGCTCATAGTGCCAAGGCGATACAGCAGAATCCACTGTTGCATTTGGTTGCATTTAGTAGGGTAACTGCTTGGTGCCAAGGCTGGTGTGCACTGGGTTCACTGCACAATGCAACAGAATCTACTGTTGCAGTTTGTTGCATATAGCAGGGTTCTCATTTCACTGGATATTGTTGCAATTAGCAAGGTACCTGAAGAATACCCGATAGGGGTTATGGTTAATTCATTAACAATGAATGCACAAGAGGTCCTCTCGTGCGTACCCCTGTTGAACAAAAGCACACACCCTCAAAGATGGCTGCAGTGCAAACCGTCTATGTTGAGCCAGAGTTCCCAAGTCAGGAACTTAAAATCTCCTTGAGATGAAGCAATGGCTTCCTAAACCTCATCTAAGTTTGGACATATATGTAATGTTTAACCCCCAAGCCAACTTTCTCTGTACACATACTCTCTGATACAATTTTACAAGAGAAACTACACATAAAATGACTAACTAACTGTCAAAATAATGTACAAAATAAAATTAACTCAAGCGTACACAATCACAAGCTTTGAACCGCAGGTACACATATGACTCCAATAAAATGGGTCCGTTTACATCAATAAAGGAGAAATTATTAAAGCAGAGCTCAGAAAGTAAAAAAAAACCACAACCCCACAAGATGAGAATGTACAGGGTTTGGTTCGATCACCCCCCATATAGACTAATTCGGCCAACAAAATTTGAAGCCATTTTGCAGGTGGAACCACGCTCGTGTGCACGCATGCCGGACATGATCTTAAAGATGGCATTGCGCCAACAAAAGAGGGTGCGTTAATACCACTTTTGACAGCCCTGTGGACGGGACACACAGCGTGTGCGTAACGTACTGTACTGGTTCGGCACTACATACGCACGACTTCTTGAATGTGCCCAAGCTATAGCCACAGGGTTTTCATGTGAGCGTCAGGCGTCAGCGCACGAATACGTTCGAATTTAACTTGCGATAGTCTCCAAGACTAATCCCGTCCCCAATAACTTTGGATCATTTCGAAATACGCAGTGGATGGACCAGGAAGCAGTCTAGGTCTCCCCCAACTCTCCTTTTCTGGCCGTTGAAGGGGTAATTGTGCATGGAACGATTGGTCAAAGGAGCCCGGAGTGGGTGCGTACTACCTGAGCGCGACTCGCGCGAGCCTGGTGCCACCTCAGAAAATGGCTGTCACTGGATTAGTCTATGGGCTCCGTGCGCCAACAAAAGAGGGCGCTTTTTTACCATTTTTGAGAGCCCCACGTGTGTGTACTGATTAACACGTGTAAAGCAGGAAGTACGCACTACTAATTTTATTCTGAATGCCCACAAAGCCATAGCGTCTTCATGTGAGCGTCAGGCATCGGCGGGGCGTTTGAATGTCTCTCCCAATGGGCTCCCTAGTTTGGTTCCCAGACCAAAAGATCTATTTTTGACGAATCTAAGATTCGTCCAAAAGGAAAGTTGGAATCTTTTGGTCAGGGAACATGACTATGGTCTCCCCCAACCTTTTCTCGCCGGTGAGGGGGTCCTTGTGAACGGAGCCCATACTAAACAACAACTGACGGCATGGCTCAATGCCGCAAGGTCCCACGGACTTTTACATCTGATGCTCTGTGTGTACGTCTGGCTCCGTGTTACGTCTGGCCAGTGTTAGGGTTATTCAACTCCCAGTAAAATGGTTTACATGTAAAACAAGAGAATGTAATGCCAAGGCGAACCAAGAGAACATCTGATGTGAATTTTTAGACTTTTCTGAGAAAAAAACAACTAGGAACATTATAAACAATATCTACAAGAAGAAGTGAATGCACAGGGACAGAGAAATGTGACACACCATGTGGTCACAGAAAACAGACAAGGGTACCTTAAATTACTTGGACACTTGAGGGCGCTATACATCTACAACCATCTTTTTGTGGATGTCTGTATTTCCGACAACCTGCAAAGAAAAAACAGGAAAACCACAGACTTGTAGTTACAAATTCCTAACCCTCTGCTAGAACCCTGCCAACAGGCATGCAACTGGGAATTTAGAAAAAAAACTGAGGAAATTCCAAACCACACAAGACTTTGTACAGTGTTTTTCAATTTGTAATGGCATTCATGAGAAGTAAAAAACGAGGAAATCAGCTGATTTGACGGGAAAAGTTGCATGCCTGTGCCAAATGTAGCAACGTACAACACTTGACTAAGTGACAAGCCTACCAAATGTAGTAAGATTCATCAGGGAAAAAGTCTCAAGGCCACACTGCCTCAAAGTCTGTGGTCACCGCACGCAGCAGGATACAACTGTGGCATTGTTCAATGGGACTTAGCTCTCATTGTTTCAGAGCTGGCCATTCTTGCACTGGTGTTGGTAGCTGAATGCATCAAAGTGCACCAGTTCTTTTCCACCTGATGCACTGTGCTGCATCTGACAGGGTTAGGGTCAACTTAAACTGCAATGAAAGCCTCGTTTTCATTCATTACAGGCCTTCAAATCAATTTAGACACCATTTGAGGACAACTGATTTATCAACTTTTGCTATTGCTGTAAATTTCAGAAATGGATGGATTTTGTGAATAGTATTTTATAACAAATATTGTTACACTAACCTCTTCTAGTTTTTTTTGTGTTCATGGATGCTGGACAAACCCAGAAAAAAACAATGCTGTTCTTGTAGTCTGGTTCACTGACCTTACTTCAGATGAAACGGAGCAATTTATAGACGTTGGGGAATTGCGCTGGGGAATTGTCAGGTCAGGGAACCAGAGTACCTCGCTTGCAACCGTTCACAGATGTGTAACTGATTGCAAACAAAACGAGGACTAAATAAATTTGGTAAATTGGGGGCAATATTTGAAAAACGTCAGGGGCGTTACATTTCACGGCAGTGCTGACTAAAGCAGAGATCTGTTCTGGAGTTACGCTCTTCTTCACGGCATGGATGTGCTAATGGTTGCACGCAAATTGAGATTTCTAATATTACGTCACCAATTTAAGCAAACTTTTCTTCTGAGATCAGCGTGCCTTTTGCTGTGCTAACTGCTTATCTCAGTGAAACAGATGAATGCTCAGTTAGCAGAAACTTGTGTGCTTAGCAGCGCCATGGAATTGGTGATTTTTTTTTAAGTAAGCCGGTGAATTTTTTTCATGCAAGGCTTCAGACAGCACTGATTAAAGAGGTTGTGGAATGCTCGAAGACATTTCCGTCATTTTTTGGGTATATGTAGCCTAAGGTGTGATGAAATAAAAACGACTATTGTTTCTGTCATGAAATGAGTACAAAGGTTACTTTTGAGAGCTACTTTTCAGGTCCTGTTTCGACCCAAACGTGCAATTTGTGTAAAAGTCGTCGTTGCGGGCAGCAAACAAAACACACTAAATCGTGACGTAATAAACAGGACTCGTTTATGCTACTCTGCATCGGGAGTCCTGTTTATTACGTCACGATTTACTGTGTTTTGTTTGCTGCCCGCAACGATGACTTTTACACAAATTGCACATTCGGGTCGAAACAGGCATGACAGGACTTGAAAAACAGCTCTCAAAAATACCTTTCGTACTCATTTTATGACAGAAACAATAGTCGTTTTTATTTCATCACACCTCAGGCTACATTTACCCGAAAAATGACGGAAATGTCTTCGAGCATTCCACAACCTCTTTAAACAGTACTTGTTAAAATTACAATGGCAAAACCAAATAACAAAAGCCGAATTTTCACAATCTGTCTTTGAACTTTTAATGACCTCTGCACAAACTGAGAGGAGGCTGAAGCCAGAAAAACACAGACTAACTTACCGCACAGAACTCATCGTAGGAGATCCTGCCGTCCTGATCTGTGTCGGCATTCGTGATCGTCTTGTCCACGATCTGTTGCAGCTGCGTATCCCTCAGGTTGGAGCCCACCATCATCTTCAGGACTTGAAAGAGCTCCCCGTTGGAGATGTACCCGTCCTTGTCCATGTCGTAGATGTTGAAGAAAACTGCAGAGACACCAAATAGGAGATAAAGACGATCAGAACTGCCGAGTCGAGGTAGACCCGAAAGTCTCACATTAGGACATATACATGTACAGTGACCTCGGTCAGTCATTCACTCAGTGACTCGATTCTCCAGTTGCCGGCTTTCAAGCAGACCCAAGTGAAAAAGTAAGAGAACAGTAGGATCAATTTTTTTTTCTTACACAGGATAAAAGTAGGACTTTGGAGGACAAAGTCAGGGTAAAAGCAGGACTTTTGTGGGGTTTCAGGAGTAGTTTTCGTTGATACTTACCCATGTCCACAGCACCCTAAGCCTCATTTGGCATGCTCTGTACTCACAATGCTCCATCCTCAACTAAGCTCTTGGAAGTACAATTGCAGTACTCCTGCGCCCAAGCCCTTCATTGTGTGATTTACATAATGACAATGTGAAACACTGTTATGAAAAATATTCAATGAGATTTCATTTTTCGGACTTGTGGGACAAAAAAAGTAGGGAAAAGTAGGAATTTCAAGAAAAAATTATTCAGTCCTTCTGATTTGAAAATCACAGGCTTGTGGAAAAAGGCACACCTGGATTTTTCTAGGTTTGTGTTTTTTCTAGGTGTGTGGTTTTCTAGGTGTGTGATCTGTGGTCCAGATAAATTCAGGCGTGCAATTAATCACACTTTTCGGGAAGCTTTTAGGTGTGCGATGGTGTGGGGATGTGATCGCACGCCTCAAATCTGAAGGACTGAGTATGAATTTCTAGAAAAAAGTAGGAAAAGTAGGAGCAAGGTAAAGTAGGAATACTTGAAAGCCTGCAGTTGACAATAAGCTGGCTTTTCAGATCCAGCAAAAAGCTGCAGCAAACTGCTTTCCGACTGGAATGACTTAAAATATACAAATCCCGGAAGTGTGAGGGCCTGGCGTTTCAATCCTAATGGAATGTGCCTCAGAGAAAGAAATTGTGCAAGGACAGAAGTGCTAGACCCTGATAATACTTGAGATATTACTTCGACTGATACTCACACTTCATTTTGGACTCCTTGTCTCCCTTGACGCTGAACTGTGACACGCCCTGGATAAATTCTGAAAATGATTCAGGAAAGAAAAGAGATTCACAAGCAAGTGTCCTTATTTAAACCAAAAAACACAAATATAGATTTTTACTTCTTCGTATTGGTTGTGGGAATCTAAAAGTTTAAACAAGCATTCTTACAGCGCAATATCAAATTCACATTTATTGACAGTTCCATTGCGAGATGGGCCATTCTATAAAGTTGGGATCCCCTTTTTTGCCCGGTCCCCGTTAGAATTGCACATCTAACATAACCCTCCAGGGTATGTTTGCTAGACCCTGCCAAACATGGCAACATGCAACACTTGACTAAGAGACTGTCCTGCCAAATGTAGCAAGATCCATCAGGGGAAAGTCTCAAGGCCACACTGCCTCAGAGTCTGTGGACCCGCGCGCAGCAGGATACAACTGTGGTATTGTTCAATGGGACTTAGCTCTCATTGTTTCAGAGCTGGCCATTCATGCACTGGTGTTGGTAGCTGAATGCATTAAAGTGCACCGGTAAGCCTGTTTGATATGACGATATTTCACAACATTTCGATTTAATTTTCATATCGGAAATCGTATCGATCTCTTTAAAAAAAATCGGCACATCGTGGAATTCAATATGCCGAAAAATATCGCGATATTCTTTTGTAGTACTGCTTTTGTAACCATTAAAGTCACCACTTGAGTTCAAAAAGTGCCGCTAAAGCGCTCCCATGAAAAACTGCAAACCACAAATTCATTGTTACCGCATTGTACCGCAAGGTCTTCGCTCTTAACCCCCGCCCTGCAAACAGGGCGCTGGGAAGGGCAGATGAGCTTCACAGAATCTTGTGAAAGAAGTGGGGATGGCATTTTGGGAAATTTATCATGACCTATGTATAAAGCATCTGGCTGCAGCTGTAGACCGTGGTTAGCCAATGCGCACAAATGCGATCCGAAAGGTTAGCCATAGAAATGCATACACACCATACGGGATGTGATTTCTTTTTCATTGCGGACCATGTGGACAAATTTTGTCCACATGGTCGTCCTCCATAAGTGATTATGAATAGCAAAATACATGTTACTTACCCAACAAATGACTTTTTGAAGTCATTCTAAATGATACTCGACTGGCAAATTACAAAGTACCAAGGCCACAGGGATTGGAAAAATGTCACACTTTGGACCCTGAATTTATAGAACGACCAGTTGCATCTGCCAGAAGGGGCCGACGAGTGAGACTTTCAAAGCGACATAAAACGCTGCATATGAATTCATTCTTCAGGTGTTAATAAACCTTTGCTGGCTTCAAAAATGAACTGTCTTTCTGATACCTTTAAAGTCCACCTCCCCGTTGCCGTCCACATCAAAGATTTCGATGACACGCTGCACCAGGGGATTCTGCTGGAGTTCAGGCAGGGACATGAACTCATCCACACTCAGAGCCCCAGAGTTGTCCAGATCTAGCTTCCGAAAACGCTTGCCTAACCTCTTGATTTCTTCAGTGTCAACTGGTTGAGGAACCGTAAACAACATGTGCGATTATGAAAAATATTGAGATGACGATTGCAGAACCACTCCTCAAGAAATGTAATTTGCATGTCATTATCAACTGCAAGTTAACATTTTTCAAAATTATAATTCAATATACATTTTGTTTATAGCTACTGACTAGTGCCTTTACGGAAAGGAGAAATGTACTTGTATAATTAATATAATACAAAATATATGCATAAATAGGTCTGTATCCCACAAAATACAAGTAAGTATTTCATATGTACACAGATAAGATATTAAAAAAAAAACATGATGGCAATCATCACAGAAATAACTTATTAATCAAAAGAGATGCATACATCTGTCTCAGTGTGGATAAGAATAATTTGGGTCTGTAGTGTTTGTACATTCACAAATGCCTAGTATCTGTTAATGAAAAACATGCTCGTCAATACCGTCCTGTTTTCCAATATTAAAATCAATATTAGGGTTGTCCTGAATATTCTGAATATTCAATCATTCATCAATCAAATTTTTGAATAGCTTTTTGCCCCTTCGAATACTGAAAGAAAAAAATACCCACGTACACACATGACTGTGCTGTAATTTTAATCGTAAAATTGTGACACATAATTGTCAAATGCCACTTGGTCGGGGGTAAATTTATTTGACGATGGTTCATTGTTCTCATCCTTTTAAGAGGTTAAGGGGGCCCTTTCCATTTGGTAATGTGTCGCACAAAACAAAAAGAAGTATCTGTGTCTGGTGAGATTGTGGCATACATGGTTTAGCCCCAACCCCCTAGGCCCTTTTGGCTAGGAACCATCCTCAAAATCACTGCAGGACGTTGAGCCAGTGCCGATGATACCCCAAAACAATTTGATACCCAGAAACAATTCTGTTTATCCCTAACAGTCCTGAATCCTCCAATTTCAACATGATTTTGCACACCCCCTAGGGAGTTGGGGATAATGTAGTCCTCAATAATGCAGGGATGAACATAACAAAGCGAGGCACAGCCTGAGACCTTGGCACGATGTATATTCCAAAATTAAGTGACGCTTTCTTTGCCATTCAGCCTCAATTCAAAATGGCAGCGTTTGGTAAGTTTTGAGTGAGGGAATTACGTGTACATGTACATTGTGTTGGTGGAAAATGATTCTTTATGTCCTGTGAGCTGTGCAGAATGCATTGAAGTGCTAGGCCATCAGCCTGGGGGTTTGGTCAGTATCAAATCAGGGAATAAATTATCACAGTGCGCATGCGCAAGGTATACCGCCCCTAGAGTGGTAACAAGCATTTTGATGGACATTTTGAAGACAAAAAAGGTGATAAAACCCAAAAAGCTGCCACCTCTGCAATGCTATTACATATTTTCCAACTCTGAAGATGTATCCCTTGTCAAAAAATTTCTATGACGATTATTCCCCTCATTTGATCCCGGTGGCCAAAATTTTGGACCGAGGCTGTTGGCCTATCCGCTCCGTTCACAACTACCCCCTCACTGGCAAAGAGAGTACAGTTAGGGGTGACCGACCGACACCATCTTGCCTTACTGCAATTCATTTGCTGCGAAGCACGGCCACTGCATGTACATAGTACAAATCGCCTGGTGTACGTGCATCACACACAAGGAACGGTGCGCGTCAACCAGCGAAATGTACCGCCCATGGGACGTCGTTACTAGGTAAAAGGGCGTCCTCTTTTGGTCGCGCACGGAGCTCGTAAAGCATGCCCGACAGTTTTCCAGCAAAGTACACCCCCCCAACCCCGGTATGGAGGGATTGATGGCGCAGGAAACGCTCCATTTTTCCAGTCAGCAATGTCTACAAGTGCCAACCAAGAAGGTGACCGACGGCCAACCACATCCAAAACTTGATAGAGTGAGTAGAAAGTGGAAAACAGTGGAAAGATTGGAAATTTAAATCACTACTTACAAGTGGAGCACAGCTCGACAGGAAGTGATTGTTCGTTTCCCTGAAAATAAAATAGAAATTAAACAATTAGTAAAAGCAATTCGAGACATAAAGAAAAAGTGACATTTACCCATGTATAAAGGTGATCTGCTTTTCTCATACACTTGTACAGGTCAGGCATGCACCTGGGAATTTTTTTAAAAATGAGGAAATTCCAAAATCCCACAAGACTTTGTGCAGCATTTTTCAGGTAAAAAACAAGGAAATCAGCGGATCCGAGGAAAATTTGCATGCCTGACAGGTACACGTGTGCATGTAAAATACAGTGGTGCTATACTGTACAATGTAATGTCTACCCTATTATTTGAAAGATTAATTTGCCTTTTGTTTTTTACAAAGTATCATTAGCACGGCATGCTAATCGGTGACAAACAAAAGCCTTTAAGAAAAACTTGAGAAGTCTTGACTGTTAAGTTGCTTTCTACAACGGTCTGAGTTCTGAACACTAAGCTGCAACTAAAACTAGTGGTGGGATAAGGCCAAAAAAAAAAAACATTCGGTCTCTGGTCAGACCAAAGTTCCGGAATTGACGCGGCCACGCGGCTTCTTTTTTTTTTTTTTTTTTCCTTCAAGCTTGGATTGTACAGACAAGGTGGGGTACTATTTTGCTTTTTTGGTGTCCTCATGTACATTGGTGTCCTCCATAATTTGCCTTGGTGCTTTCGATCATTTGCCTTGGTGCAATTTCCCATTCCTTGGTGCTCTTTGGTAAAAAAAAATTGAGGAGGTGCGGAAATAGAGGGCGCTGTTGGAGCTACTGCGGAACATTTTGGAAAAAAAAAAGATCGACGCACATGATTAAAATCGACGCGCGCGCTGACCAGAGACCGACTTATTTTTTGGGGGGGCCTAAAAATCTGTATTTTTAAAAATTCGGTTTGAATTACACTATTCGGCTTGGATTTTGGAAACCGGATATTTGAAACCAACTTTTAAAAAAATCATGCCTTCTGAGGTTTTTTGGTGACACAAGCTCACGAAAATATCTGGAACGTCCCCCTAATTTCACTGAATTTGCTCAATGTAACCGCAGTCACTCACTAGTGGTCTACTTAGTTCATGAATAACACTTCCCAATTCCCGTATGACTGATCAGAGAATTCCCACCTATTTACAGCTCTGGGGTGTTTTTGGAAAGGTCCAGTTGTCATTGAATCCCACAAAATGCGTGCACACAATTCTTGTGTGTCAGTTCATGAAAATCAAAATTACACATTACTGTGTAAACACACACAGGGTGAACCGGGTGTCAGTTCATTGTGTCAGTGACGAAATGCTCAACTAGACCTAACGAGTAACGTTATACTCAAAGTATGAACAGTGTCACTGTGTCAGTGTCAGGAAAGAGGGGCCATAGCAGAATCGCTGTTTTTGTTTCAGACCGGTTAAAATTCAGGCATGCAACTGGGAAATCACAAAAAAAAGAGGAAATTCAAATTTTTCCCAGACTTTGTACAGTGTTTTTCTATTTTCAATGGCACACATGGGAAGTAAAAAAAGAGGAAATCAGCTGATCCGAGGAAAAGTTGCATGCCTGCTATTATGTAATGCACCTATCAAATGTCTCCCCCCCCCCCCCCCCCCCCCGATCAGCTGATCAGATTATTCCTCGAATAATCGAGGAATAATCTGATTCACAATCTTTGAAGCCCTCAGCAGTGAAGCGCGCCCTCTTGTGTGCGCTCTTCATCCGCGGCCACATATTGCATCCGGGTACTTCACAGAGCTCCAAAGATTTTGGAATGACAGGTAACAGCCGCGGTGCACTTTGCCAAAGTTGACGCACACTCAGTAGATGATTAAAGCTCTTGTCTGGTTCCCTGACCCCATTGGAATTTTGACTATTATTATAGGGTGGCCGGGAAACAGTCTGGTAAATATCAGAGATGCCATGCTTTTTAAAAACCGTCGGAATTCTTTGCCGAATTACCATGATTTTTTGATAACTAGACCACTGAAGGTACTATTTTTTGTACTATTTAGCAGTCATACTATAGCTGGGTTGATTTTCTGCTGACAAAATAATTTCAATCTTTAATTGATTTTCAGCTCCCCTAGCAACGGGACCATCAGCGCACAGGCCGTATATGGCTCTGTGTTTGAATATACGGAGGTACATGTAGTCCAGTATTTCAGTCACATTTATGGGACTAAGTTCGAGGCATTCGGTCATATTGATTTAAGTGTCTGGAAGACAGCGGTACGTTATACGCATGACATTGACAACCATGACATGCATGACAACGCATGAGCTGGCCAATGACAGTGCAATACGTCATTATGAATATTAAATATTTAATTATTTTATGTCGGATACTTTAAATACGTCCAAAGATTGATCATTGGAACAAGCAATTGTGCGCGGTCTAGCGGTACGGTAAAAAAGTGTCGTGTTTCAAACAAGACAAAGGTTTGAATCTCGAAGTAAGTGACTGATTAAAGTAAGAAGGAAAGGAGAGGGTGAGACTGAGAGCAGAGAACATGGAGAAGGGAAATGGAAGAAATAACCATGATATAATAAAGGATGCAACTTTTGGCACTTGAAAAAAGTGGTGGCTTAGTACGGAAATTTTTGTACAACTATAGAATGTAGGGCCACTTCACTCTACATCCGCGCCTCCGTACGGCTGCGTGGAGGCGTGGAGCTGCAGTCGACCTACCTCCGAGAATTGTACCATGCTGCGTGGAGGCGTGGAGGCGTGGAGCCGCAGTCTACCTCTATCGGCGAACCGCGTCTGTGCGACTCCGCGCCTCCGCGTCTCGCTGACTCTGCGCCTCCCTCACTCCGCGACTCCGCGCCTCCAGTGCCCCGTCGCCTTCCTACCTTCCTTTGCGAGGAAATTAACAATGGATATGGATGCTTCGTTCTCTAAAAAAATACCGCCGAGAATTGCGCCCTCTATCGGCGGCCCGCGTCTCTGCGACTCTGCGCCTCCGCGTCTCCCCGACTCCGCGCCTCCCTGACTCCGCCACTCCGCGACTCCAGTGCCCCGTCGCCCTCCTACCTTCCTTTGCGAGGAAATTAACAATGGATATGGATGCTTCGTTCTCTAAAAAATACCGCCGAGAATTGCGCCCTCTATCGGCGGCGCGCGTCTCTGCGACTCCGCGTCTCCCTGACTCCGCGCCTCCCTGACTCCGCGACTCCGCGTCTCCGCGACTCCAGTGCCCCGTCGCCCTCCTACCTTCCTTTGCGAGGAAATTAACAATGGATATGGATGCTTCATTCTCTAAAAAATACCGCCGAGAATTGCGCCCTCTATCGGCGGGGCGCGTCTCTGCGACTCCGCGCCTCTACGTCTCCCTGACTCCGCGACTCCCTGACTCCGCGACTCCGCGTCTCCCTGACTCCGCGACTCCGCGTCTCCGCGACTAGACTCCAGTGCCCCATCGCCCTCCTCCCTTAACCTTCCTTTGTAAAAAATACCGCCGAGAATTGCGCTCTTTATCGGCGGTGCGCGTCTCTGCGACTCCGCGCCTCCGCGTCTCCAGTGCCCCGCGACTAGTCTCTGCGACTCCGCGGCTCCGCGCCTCTGCGACTCCCTGGCTCCGTGCCCCGACGTACAAGCGCCCTCCCTTCCCATTCTGATCATTGATGAGAAGACAAGTGTACTTAGCACTTTTTGCAGGTTTACTCCTATCCTCACATCGCCGGCCTCCATCCACGCCTCCAAGCAAAATAAAAAACCCTTGCTCCGGCGTGGCCCTGCATTCTATAGTTGCTCCGAAATTTTTCCTTGTTGGGTTGTGCAAATCATGTATTGGATAAACATGCTAAAACGACACGAACATGACGAATCACGAAAAACGAAATTAATTTTTCGACTTGTGAACCGACCGTGACCGTCATGACCGTCAATGAGTGGCTGTTGACGTCGGGAAAACATAAATGTCAGCTTTTCATTCAAATTAATGCGACAAAAAATACAATTATATTAAGCACATGGTACAACCCGTACATATTATTCCATATTTAACTAAAAATAGGCTTTCCAAATACGAATTTACCCACCATTTTGATGTAGAAAACTGGTTTCGTTGCGTCGCAAAAATCACTATGTCGGGGTCAACATCCGGGATATGGTCGGAATGACCTTTAATGGCCTCTTCCATTTTCTATTTAAAGGGAGATCCAGGGTGGGTTTCTACTCACGATTATCTTTCCACGATTTTGACACCGTACAAACAACTGAATCACCTGGAAAACTGAAACCCGTACCCTGTTCCTTGCTCTATGCCCGTTCAAACTTGTATATTTTATCCACCTTGAAATTTCCTGATAACTCCTTGATGAGGAATGTATTTTTCCCCTCCATGATGATGAAGAGTGTGGGGACAAAAAGGAGGCGGGATATCGTGGGCGTGACAAGGTGATCGATTGGCAGGCAGGACAGTGCACCCGCTGTGTATATCTAGGGTTCAATTTGCTGGAAAGGGCTAGGGGTAGGGGGGGGGGGGGGGGGGGGGGGGTGGGGGTGGGGATGCCGGGGTGGGTAAAAACAATTGAGAAAATAAAGGAAGGGGCCGTGGTGCCACCTGCCACCCCCCCCCCCTCCTCCCCCCCCCCCCCCCCCCCCCCCCCCCCCCCCCCCCCCCCCACCCTCCATCATCACCACCATCCCCTCGGTGGGTGTTTTACAGCACTTATTATTTGGTATCTGAGATTGTTTGCTCTCAGCATCTCCCCCAGTCAACTAAACCCTCCCTACTCCACTCAGCACAATTAAGTGGGGCACGGGGAGGGGAATGAGGGGGGGGGGGGTGGTCAATCACAATGAGACAGGAGGGGTTAATTTTGTGAACATTTTGTGATATTCAGTTCCCTACTGGATGGGGCCCGAGTGTAGCCATGGTCTAAAGCCATGGTCTATTACATAGACAAGCCTGAGCGGGGCAGGGATGGGGGGGGGGGGGGAGTTCAGACCCCAACCCTTGTGGATCAGCCAATTGTTTGGTTTATCACCAATCAGAGCACAGCACCATGTGCATCCACCAATATTTGGTTCTTCCACACCAGTTCAGCCCCAGTCCCAGCTCCCTTTGGATCCACCAATATTTGGTTCTTCGCCAGTTCAGCCCCAGCCACCCCTTGTGGATCGTCCACCAACATTTGGTTCTTCACCAGTTCAGTCTCAGCCCCCAATTGTGTATCATCTTCCAATATTTGGTTCTTCACCAGTTCAGCCCCAGCCCCTTGTGGATCGTCCACCAATATTTGGTTCTTCACCAGTTCAGCCCCAGCCCCTTGTGGATCGTCCACCAACATTTGGTTCTTCACCAGTTCAGCCCCAGCCCTCAAATTGTGGATCGTCCACCAGTATTTGGTTCTTCACCAGTTCAGCCCCAGCCCCCAATTGTGTATCATCTTCCAATATTTGGTTCTTCACCAGTTCAGCCCCAGCCCCTTGTGGATCGTCCACCAATATTTGGTTCTTCACCAGTTCAGCCCCAGCCCCTTGTGGATCGTCCACCAACATTTGGTTCTTCACCAGTTCAGCCCCAGCCCTCAAATTGTGGATCGTCCACCAATATTTGGTTCTTCACCAGTTCAGCCCCAGCCCCCAATTGTGTATCGTCCACCAATATTTGGTCCTTCACCATGTTCAGACCCAGCCCCCCTGTGGATCCACCAACATTTGGTTCTTCTTCAGGGCCCAATTTCATGGCTCTGCTTATCGTTAGCAAAAGATTCCTGCTTATAAAAAAATTACTGTAACGGAAAAATATGTGCTCATGGTTAGCATATTTTATGGTAAGCACATCACAGAATGGTTAAAGGGAATATACATCATTTGCTTTTGCTGTAATTTTCAGAAAAGGATGGATTTGGTAAATATATAACAAATATTGTTACACTGACTTTTTGACGTTTTGGGTTCGTAGATGCTATAAAAATCAAGAAAACCCATAATTTTCCTGTAGTCTGGTTCCCTGACTCCATTTAAGATGAAACGCAGCGATTTATAGACCTTGGGAAATTGTAAGGCCTGGGAACCAGTCTAGCTGGCTTGTACCCGTTCATAGGTGTGTGATTGATTGCAAACAAATGCGGACTAACTAAATATGGTCAACTGGTATGGGCCCAGTATTTGAAAAAAGCCAGTTTGATACGAAAATACATTTTTTTTCTTGAAAATGACAGAATACCAGGTGCCATGATTTTACAGGATGCTTTAGACTGTCATTCACTAACAGTTCAGCAAGATATTTCAAAATAATTTGGTAGTTATATTTTCTGATGTTTGCAAATGTTGTACTTTCCCTTTAATCAGGCAAGGGAGGAATTCTAGGGTGGTTTGCAGAGCCATGAAATTGATTCCAATTCAGGCCCAAGCCCCCCTTGTGGACCTGCCAATATTTCGTTCATCCCCAATATTGGTTCAATATTGGGTTCAAGTGTGCTCTTTGCATGGTGTTTGACCATTAAAACTGCAAAACACTGTTTTACTTCAAAAACTTTAAATTTCTCAATGACCATAAAAAAATGCAATACATCAATAGTCATATAATCCAGGTTTGTTCATGTTGTCTGCAACCCTTTTATTTTGGCGAAATATTTAACGGAGGGTCCTGCTAAACCAGGAAAATCCATACTTGATATGAAATTCCCTGTACTTTTTCCTTGCTCTGGTGTTAAAACTACCTTAATATCTCCAAGAAGTAGAGTTATGCTAATGCATACTTGTCATATCATCTCGAACACAGGGTAAGCCTAATTGGAATATTAAACATCCATTGCATTCTGACTAAAATAGTGGCGTTGGTTTTCAGTGCAACGCAACAGTGGAGCAGTTAAGTTTACATCACAGTCAAAGTAATGCAGGCAAAAACATAAAACTACTTGGTGATAATTATCGGCTCGCAACAAAACAATAGACTAAAATTTAATTTTTAAAAAAAATACATACTTTGAGAAAAATGGACAATAATGTCAATCATCCAAATGCAAGCAATTCCACTTTCACTACCCAATCATCCAAATGACAGAATTTACCATTTTCAAGTATAGCCACTTAATTTCTTAACCAGTTCGCGCCGGATGACGTGTATACACGCAAAGGTTTTGTGGTATTCGGAACGGATGACGGATAAACACGCAGGGAGCGAGGCCGGAAATATCTGTCAGCGACCCGCTCGCGGCGAGCGAGGCCGGAAATATGAGTGTGCTGCCCGAGGGTGATGGCTTCAAACCGTCTGGCTTGAGGTTGAGTGAAAATTAATCCCGCCCCTCGTTCCGTTCTTGTCAAAATAATGCCTGCGCGAACTGGTTAATTTGAAGCGGTTTCTACCATGAAAAAGAAAACCCCTTTCAGGTGCACAACAACAGAATCATGTTTTCATCCAAAGCGTTTTGTTGTGGGCTTGACCACCCCGCTCAATATTGGCTTTGGGACAGAACTTCCAAAAATGTAACTGGCAAAACAAATATCATATATTTTAAACGAGAATACAAATACAAACATCCAATGGAAATAAAATATAACAGGAGTTCTTTGGATTTGTTCCAAATTATATACTAATTCTCTTGTATTAGAGGCATTAGTCCAACGGTAGGAGTAATTGCAGAATACCCCGCCACTCGGAAATACACCCCTAAAATCTCTGGCTACGCGGTTGGAATCACTGGAAAAGAAACATTTCAACTTCCATGCCAGCTAAGCGGATACTGAGTGGGGGTCCATTATTTGAGAACGAAGCAACACAAAATGAATGGGAGTTGCTGAAAAAATTCCAAGTCCAAACCAACCACCCTGTTGGCGGCTACGCGGATACAAAGTGGGAGTCCCCTTGAATATGCTTGAGAACGAAGCAACACAAAAGGAATGGGAGTTGCTGAAAAAATTGTAAGTCCAAACCAACCACCCTGTTGGCGGCTACGCGGATACGGAGTGAGAGTGCAGTGGGGCATGACGCATAGTACATACAAGTAGCGCTGAGAAGGTTTATTGAGGTCAATCAACCGTGACCTCGTAGCCGGCTACGAGGTGGATAGATTGAGTGGCAGGGTATTCTGCAATTGTGCCCAACGGTATTAAAACTTGAGATAAAATTGCAGTTCAAACAGAATGTGAAAGTAAACCTCAAAAATAAGCCTACCACCCTTCCCTCACCACATTATCAAAAATGCCCAAAGGTTGAAAACTCATAATATTTCAAGACTGGTTTCTTTCTTTTTCATTTTGGCCCTAGCATTAGTTCCGGCCGCACCCACTGATCAAACTGTTCTTCAGTCACATGACCCAAGGCTAAGGCGGCTTCCTTGAGTGTCGTGCCGTTGGCGTGGGCATGCTTCGCAATCTTGGCGGCCTTGTCGTAGCCGATGTGCTGGTTGAGGGCAGTGACCAACATTAGAGACTCATTCAGGTATCTGAAATATGAAAAGAAAAACTGGCATTGACTGCTGGTATAATTGCTGCTTCACTACACAAGTCAAAACACACTAGGGCTGTGCATCGGAACCTGGTACCTAAGTACCCGACCATTGATGTCAGGAACCGGTTCCGTATTATAGGATTGGATAACCATAACCAACTTTGCAAATTACTTGGCAACTTCTTTGACAATGAAAAAGGTTTTGAATGTCATTTGTGGGGAATTTTCAAAATAAAAGCCAAGCTACATGGGAAAACAACGCATTACATGTTTGTGATGATCGCAAAAGTTGCAATTTACACCATAAAGCTATAAAGCTCACTGATACACACTTGTATCTTGCTGTATTGATGCACCGATACGGTAGTATTATCGTGCCGACCTTTATGAATAATCTCAACAACAACTTCCGAGATTTGAATGTTGGAATAAGGTTTCTCTTACAGGTACCCGGATACCCATTTTTTTTTTCAATCAGCAGTGGCGGCGCCAGACTCTAAAATTGGGGGGGGGGGGGGCAATTGGGGGGCAAGGAAATAATTTTGGGGGGCAGTCAAAAAATAATCTCAAGCCCGTGTACACGCAAGCATACCATTGTCAATGGTCCGGAAATAAGCCACTAGAGCAACTTAGAGGTGTAGTCGTTTTTATGAATGAGAAATGTATCAAACTGCAGAATTGTGTATAACAAATGTACAAAAACATTTGCTGCACACTATCTATGGCTGTATAAATGCATGTGTGGCGTGTTTTGTCTTAAGTACTAATGTTTTAATGCTTTCATTGGCCCCAAATTTTATGAATCTTAACAGCAAAGATAATAAACATAATTAATCTACTTGTAGATAAAGTGTTCTGGGAAAACTGGGGGAGGGGGAAAACTGGGGGGGGGGAGGGCAAAGACAAAACAACAAAGGAATGTGCTGAACGCCATGGGTTGAGCAACTTTAACATACCTGCTAATTGTGTCCGTGTTTGGCACAATGCCAGCCACGCATTTGGTCGCGAAGGAAACGCTGCCATCTCCCAGCAGACGGATGGAGCGCAGGACGTTGGAGACAATCATCGGCTTGAACACGTTCAGCTCAAAATGGCCGTTGCTGGCTCCGACCGTGACCGCGGTCTGGTTCCCCATGACCTGCGCTGCCACCATGGTGATTGCCTCGCACTGGGTTGGGTTCACTTTGCCTGTGCAGAAAATGACAAGACAGGATAAGGCACAGACTAAATAGGTTAGCTCCTTTCAAAAGTAGTTAAAAGTTCAAGATTTGAACAAGCTGCATGAAAATAATGAAACAAATTTTTTTCAAAAGTCGGATTTCAAACAGATATCACTTTTTGGGAAGATTGCCATCTCTTTGAAGTTGAAGACATATGCCCAAAGTTGAGGCTTGTAGTTCTTGTTGACGTTCCCTTTTTAGGCAGCGTTCAATTTCATGAAACTGCTAAGTGGAAATAGTTGCAAATTTATATGGTAAGCAAAAAGGAGAAGAGTACCAGTCACAAGCAGTACACTTCACAAGGCAATTGGGCTGGTTACCACATTTTGTGCAACTTTCTACTCCTCTTAAATGTATGAAAACTATTTGAAATCCCTTTCTGCTTAATTCTACTGAAGAGTACGCTTCTTCAAACATTGAAAGTTTTCCATGCTTTTCCGAACAACTGAGGGTGCTGTTGCGGTGATGCCATTTCAGGAAGACACTGTTCAGTTTAAGGGTTTTCTGTTCAAATTGTGAACCCAAAAAATATAAAAAGGCACCCAAAAAAACCTTTAAAATGGCAAAACAAAAATTGAAAATAACAATAAATGGGACTCAAAGGTGCATTTTCAAGGATGGCATAAAACATATTTCCTTGCATGGGTTCTGTAAACTTAGGGACTCATCCAAAATGGTCTTCAAGAACTACGGCTATTTCTCTTGTCAGCATGTTCCCACGTACTTGCCTAAGTTTGTGACGTTGGCCTCAAGATTCATACAAATATCCCACTCACCAGGCATTATGCTACTCCCGGGCTCGTTCTCCGGCAAACTGAGCTCTCCCAGCCCACACCTCGGCCCCGATCCCAGGAAGCGAATGTCATTGGCTATCTTCATGATGCTGCACGCCACAACATTGAGGGCGCCGTGGACCTCTAATAGGGCGTCGCGGGCAGCCAGGGCTTCAAACTTGTTGGGGGCCGTCACGAAGGGCAAACCTGGACAGGCCATGATGGAACGGATGTGAATTGCACATGATGCGGATAACAACAGATTTTAGGTCCCAAATGAACTGAAATTTGATTATTAGACAAGCCCATTGTATCAGTTGTTAACTGATAAGGCAATTCCGTAAATTCGGACAAACATGTCAGAGACATTAATGAGCTGCTGTTGGAAAAGTGAAATGTGATACATCCCTAAGGCCAAGAAAAAAAAAGTTCTGCTTCGGATTGCATGGCATTTGAAAATAGGGTAGGTAGGTAGGGAATTTTTTTGTGTACGATCATATGGAGGCGTCTGCGTGTAGTCAAGGGTAAAAGGTAGAAATTGATGGTTTTTGGTGTTTTTTTCTCAATTTTCCAATACAAAAATTAGGGTAGGGGCTGTTAGAAAAGGGTAGGTAGGGAAACCGGAAGCAGAACTATTTTTTTGGGGGCCTAATATGTGACGTCTAATAAGTAGAAAACAACTACAGACCAAACTATTAGGTATATGTACCACCATGCCTTAACGACCTTGTACCGGTACATGTACATCATGTGGTCTGACATCATTTGGATTTACGGAATTGCCCAAAACTAACCTTTACCATATGGGTTTGGTATGAGTCACTGACCGTTTTTGCCATAACTTTTAACTTTTTTTTTATCCAACTTCTGAAATAAACCACAATTAATTGTAATAAAATGTTGTATCCTCTCTGAGTGATCCCCGTTTGATAATGCTAATGTTAGCATTGTGCCTTTGAGTGTTGGACGTGATCCCTGGCTACATGGCATGTGTGTATACAGTTTATGGCTTCTGACTAGCGCTTGTTGAATAAAGACACTGACAAAATGGGGGACCACCAACATAAGGCCAAAAAAAAAAAGGCTCCAGTTTCTGGTATGGAGCTTGCCCAAAAAGTTTTTTTGCTTCAAACGTCGGCTGATGACTGCAAATGGTGCCCGACTAAACTTAGTGCAAATATTATGGGAGACCAGAGAGGCCACATAAAGCTTATTCTCGATCATAACCCCATCTAAAAACACGTTAAAATTGTGCAGCAGCAGGATTCCAGTCAAACCAGTGAGTTTGGCGGTTTTGAGACATCATCTTTCATTGAAAAAAAACTTTTTCATTTTGCCGACGCGCATGGCTACGGCGACGCGCGCGCATACCAGAAACCGGAGACTTTTTTTTTTGGCCTAAGGCAGAATAGCTTAATTTGTAGGACACCGGAACGGCAATCCGGAGGTCACATGTTCAAACCCCGCTTCAGTCAATTTCTTTGTTCATCTTTAAAATTATTTTTTAATCCAGCTGAAACTAACAGTATCAAGCATGTAATGTTGCTAATACACTGTAAGTATGCTTCAATAGCTAGGACAAATAAATTATAAGCATCTCAATATATCAGCTGGCAAATATAACACCAATTCCAGCAAAATTCAAGTCCATACCTGTGCGTTTCTTAATCGTCTCGGCCACTTTCTCGGCAAAGCCAATCCTGGTATTCAACCCAGTCCCAACTGCGGTCCCACCTACGAGAGGGGACAAAATGACACGAATAAGGCAGGGATGAAGAGCATTGGAACAGGCCATCACTCAGATGAAAATGATTGGTGCGTACTTTGGATCATACGTATATAAATCAGTGCGCGCACAGGCGGTTTGTCCCACCCGCTGGAGCTGGGGCTGCACCGAATATACCCAACATTTGAATATTCGACCATCCACCCAATATCTGATCAGCATTTGTATCAATTGAAACAGTTGAAAAATGTGAGCGGACTCAGGGAGATGATGAGAAAATGTACTTGTATTGCGTGGTGTATTGTTTGTCAAATGCCACGCTTTTGTCAAAAGGCAATTTTCCACTATGATTCAAGAGCTTCCATGTGGAATATGTCAGGCATTCTGGCAAATTGAGACGGAACTGGGCACAGGCCATAGTGTAGAAAAATGCAAAAAACAAACAAATGGAGGTGATTTTTTTTTTCTTTTCCAGATTACATATTTGTTATCGTTGATATGTCTGCTGCACATCTTTTACGGAATAATACAAAAAATAATGGAATAAAAGTGTTTTTAAGTTGAAACAATTGGCATTTTTCATTTGCACGACTACAAAACTCGAAAATTTGAAGGCCTTTTTTCTCAGTATTTTACTTTTTTGATATGTTGATAAATGCAAACTTTAAACAGCATAACTTGTCAACGGAATGCCCGAGTGAAGTGCAACAAACAGTATTGTAAGGAGAATTTTATTCTCTTTCCTAACACCTGCAAACCCTCATTTCAGCCCAGTTTTGTCTCATTCTGCCAGGAACGCCACATATATTAGCTCAAATTCTCATTTGAAATTAGCCTAATATCAGCCATTCCGCTACCTCGAATAAATGTATCCATACATACATGATGTTCTTTATCTTATTTAAACAAGCTCTTTGTCAATTTTTCGATATGCTAAACCCCACCAGTGCATGTAACATTTGATCAGCGCATTTCAATATTTGTGCATTCGATCAAGTCAAAGTTAGAATAATCAAATACTAAATTATTCCAAAATGCGCAACACTAGCTGGAACTCTTGTGAGTGGTCACACAGAGCCACCCCCTAACTCCTGCCTAAAATGGAGACAGGTGTACACATCTGATGCAAAACACTCTTGGGCCTACCTGCTGCCAGCTGATAGAGTCTTGGCAGGGTGTCTTGCACCCTGTCCATGCCGTTGGCTATCTGTGTCCGATACCCACCGAACTCCTGGCCGAGGGTCAAGGGCGTGGCATCCTATCAACAGAAACAAAATCCAATTCACAAAATGAAAACTTCAAATGACCCAACAAAATCCATTCTGCTACTTGGGAATGTAAATTTGAATAAAGTTTCGACATGCTGATAAATGTGAACTTTAATCAGCCATAACTTGTCAATAAGCCATTTGCGAGTAACCTATACCCTTTGGGATTTACATTTCAATAACATCTGGTACACTGACTTGCTCAGAATGCTTGGCACATTTTAACTTTGAATTCTCCAGACCAAAGACACTGTTGCTAATCACATGATTCGGGGCAAGCTCTTGCATAGTTACGTAAGAGACGCTCAGCATCAATACATCGCTCACAATGGGTGAGAATGGCACAAAGACACCAGACCATGCCAGAGCTGGGGGTTGCTAGCATAAGGCTTGCCCCGAATCACGTGATGTAGTAACAGTCTCTTTGGTCGGGAGAATGCAAAGTTAAAATGTGCAAAGCATTGGATTAAGTCAGCGTTCCAGATTTTATTCAAATTTAACTCGCAAATGGCTTATTGAATACCCGATTGAAGTGCAACAAAGAGTATTGTCAGGAGCAGTTTTATTCTCTTTCCTAATACCCTCAAACCCTACTTTCAACCTCTGCCCAGTTCTGTCTTACTTTGCCAGAATGCCTCACATGCTTTAAACTTTTAGATTGAAGTTTTGAAGTTTTACATTGTAAAGATGGAATTTTGCGTCGGGGTGATGTAAATCAAATTAGGTTTTGCCCTTCACCGACGTATAAACACTGTATACTCAGTGTGTTTAATACCTCCCGAGTGAAAGTTGGAAAAAATCACTCGGGTGGGACTCAAACCCACGACCTCCTGCTTTCTAGTGCAGATGTCTTACCACTCAACCACCAAGCTAATGGGATCAGTTGGCTGGTCCAAATCTGATGTACATAGCAGCGGGTACCGCATTAACTATTCATAAGATGGAATTTTGCGCATTACATGATAACAGAAACCAAAAATCTCCATCTGAGTAATTGGACACTTCCTGTCAATCAGTGCACATTGACCAATTAGATCACAACTTTTGGTCAGGTGACCACAGTAGCTCGGTCAAACCTGACCATAAGCACAGTGACAAATGTACACAAACCAAAGGTGGGGGCGGGGGTGGTGGGGTGAGGGCGGGGGTAGTGGGGTGGGGACGGGGGTGGTGGGGTGGGGGCGGGGTGGTGGGGGTGGGAGCAGGTGTGGTTGGGGTGGGGGAAGGGGTTATGGCCAAATCAGGAACAGGCCATTTGTGCCAATCGCACCCCCAGGGAACTACCTGTGTATACCTGTAATGGGGATTGGCTTCTCTTATGTAAATTTGCAAAAGCTTGCTCTAACTTGGCAAAAATGTCAGTAATTTGAAGAATTCAAGGTAAAATGTGCCAAGCATTTGAACAGGTCAGTGTATCACACATCAGTTGGATCAAACTCAGTGGGTAACTCACAAATGGCTAATTTACAAAGTATGTTAACAGAGTAGAACAAAGACATAAAGCAAGAATTTAAGACACACTTTGCATATGTTTTTTCGACTCTTTCTAGTAACTTAGTTCTAATATGTGGTTCTAATAGAACTTCCTATTTTTAGATGTGTTTTTTTTTTATAGTGACTGTAAAATTTATTAATACAAGTAGAAACTACTTTGCTTTTCATAATCACTCTTTGAGGACAACTGCATTAGGGAGTGCATCAGAATTAGAGAATCTTAATGCCAGATGTAACGGGGACAGGGAAAAAAATGGACCACAAATTTATAGAACGACCAAAAAAAATTCATTTTAAATACACCATACCTGAGTGTGAGTCCTTCCAATCTTGACGATTTCTTTGAAGTGTTCTTCTTTCTGCCGCAATGCATCATGGAGCGCATGTAACCCTGGCAACAGACAACTCTGGATCTCCAAGGCAACTGCTATGTGCATGGCAGTGGGGAATGTGTCGTTGGAACTCTGATAAGAGGAGGAGGGACAAATAATACTGATATAATAAAAAAAAAAAAACAATTCTTGCAGAACAAAAAAAAAAGAACAACAGGTTGTCTTCAAAACAGTACGTAACATGTACAAGATCGTGTCTGACAAGTTCTCATCATACGCTTCAGTGGTCATCGACCTCTAATCTTGCACCATGTCCAAAAGGACATTGGCTCCACGAATTTTTGCTCTCCACTCCTGTCTGTCTTGCGCTCTACGGTGTTCCAGGTAGAAGGTGCTGTTAACCATGATGTCATTTTCCCATCTCTTCCTTGGCCTACCCCGTCTATTTTTCCCAGTCACTGTTTCTAGCAGGATACCCTTTGAAACTCTGTTGTTTTCCATTCTCACTATGTGTCCAAACCAGGCAAGTTGGGTTTTGTGGATGTGTAAGGTAATTAACTCTGGTGGATTAGGCCAAAAAAAAAAAATATTCGGTCTCTGGTCAGACCAAAGTTCCGGAATTGACGCGGCCACGTGGCTTTTTTTTTTTTTTTTTTCAAGCTTGGATTGTACAGACAAGGTAGGTACTATTTTGCTTTTTTGGTGTCCTCATGTACATTGGTGTCCTCCATAATTTGCCTTCGTGCTTTCGATCATTTGCCTTGGTGCAATTTCCCATTCCTTGGTGCTCTTTGGTAAAAAAAATTGAGGTGCGGAAATAGAGGGCGCTGTTGGAGTTACCGCGGAACATTTTGGAAAAAAAAAAGATCGACGCGCATGATTAAAATCGACGCGCGCGCTGACCAGAGACTGACTTATTTTTTTTTTTTGGCCTTACCATCAGCCAAAATTCTCCTCCACACCTCGTCATTTTGTACCTTGTCTTGCAAAGAGATGTTCAGGGTTTTACAATAGCAGCACATCTGGAAGGCTTCTGATTTCTTTTGTTCAGCCTTCTTGATGGTCCAGGCTGCTGAGCCATATAGGAGAACAGGATAGACGAGTGCATTCACAAGACGACCTCAGCAAACCAAAATGTAAAGGTCTCCGCTCGGAAGCAAATTTGGTTATCCCCCGCATCACCAAGAATGCAGGGGACCATGCCTTCTCCGTTGCTGGGCCCCGAAACATTAAACTCTCTCCCCAGCACCATCCAGAATGCATCATCATTTGAACACTTTAAGGGACTCTTGAAGACGTACCTGTTTTGATTTCATTTACCAATTCTGTTGATTTGTTTTCAGCGCTTTGTATCCTTCAGCAAAGGCATTTTATAAATTCCTATTATTACTATTTAAGAACTGACTTTCTCTGCTTCGCATTTCTGATGAATCGTGAACATTTCTGATTGACAGATGGTCAAGCATCATCGCGAAATTTCTTGGTCCTTGCTCAATACTGCACATTATAATACGTCTTGCAATTGGTAACCGGTGAAACAACCAACTTGATCGCCAGTTTGTCTAACTATGGTTGACCATAGTTCGCAACTGAACTTGTTTGACTTGGACAGGGCCCGTGCAATGTAAAATCTTTGAAATTTCACCCGTGTGTCCTATTTAACCTTATTTTCAATTTTCGTTTTGGTTTTTATGCTTATGCAAATTTCCATATTCATGAGCAAAACTGTGATGTCATGCGGGGCAGATACCTCAATGTTACAGCTGTTTCAGCACACCGTTGCTAGAATTTTGGATAGTTGGCTTTGGTAAATTTTCTTTTCCTTGGTGATTCGTTGTGTAAGCACATGGCAGTAAGCCAATGAGCAACCCTTTCTCACAAATGTTTTCAATGAGCAAATTTTGGCTCCACAGCTTCAACAGAAAACCCCTAATCTGAACAGTGTCTTCCTGGAATGACATCAAAGCAACAGCGCCCTCAGTTGTCCGGAAAAGCATAGAATTTGTATTAATGTTTAAAGGGAATATACATCATTTGCTTTTGCTGTAATTTTCAGAAATGGATGGAATTGGGGGGTTGGAAATATTTAGCAAATATAGTTACACTGACTTTTTTGAGGTTTTGGGTTCGAAAAAGCTATAAAAACCAAGAAAAACGATCATTTTCCTGTAGTCTGGTTCCCTGACTCCATATAAGAAGAAACAGAGCAGTTTACATGTATGGGGGAATTGTAAGGTCAGGGAACCAGTCTAGCTGGCTCGTACCCGTTCATAGGTGTGTAATCGATTGCAAACAAGTGCGATGGTCAATTGGGGCCAGTATTTGAAAAAAAAGCCAGTTGTTTCCAACGCTGATCGGCCGATCAGCGTTGGAAATTGATACAAAAATACCACTTTTCTTGAAAATGGCAGTATACCAGGTGCCATGATTTTACAGGATGCTTTACACTGTCATTCACTAACAGTCCAGCAAGGTATTTCAAAATGATTTGGTAGTTTTATTTTTTGATGTTTGCAAATGATGTATTTTCCCTTTAAAGAAGTGCACTTTTCAATCAAATGAACCAAAAAGGGATTTCAAATATTTTCATACATTGATGAGTAGAAAGTTGCACAAAATATCTTCCCAAGAAAAATTCACCGCATGGACCCTTTAACACTGACGCTTACATTGCATTTTTTAACCAACTCTGAGCACCTACATTTTTGGTAAATGTACAAAAGAAAATTGTCTACAGCATTATTTAAAAGAAATGTATCACGTCTGCATTGCAGATTCCAAACCAACAAAATCAAGGAATAAACTTACCTGACTCTTGTTGACATCGTCATTGGGATGAATGGGGGACTTGCTGCCCATGACTCCCCCCAGCATCTGGATGGCCCGATTGCTAATCACCTCGTTCACATTCATGTTAGTCTGGGTACCAGACCCAGTCTGCCAAATCACCAACGGGAAGTGGCTGTCTAGCTTGCCCTCCTCAAGCTGGAGGCAAGACAGAAAGAAATACTCATAATTTCTCATGGAATCTCGAAACGAATGTACAGTGAATGTTAATGGATTTCAAACAAATAATAGTATTTCATTTGAAGTGTATATACAAGGATTTTTAAAAAGAAAACGTATCTTTCCTTCTTCCTTACAAGTTGTTACATTCTGTTGAAAATATTCCAATGACTGTTATTTTCAAAGGGAAGGCCTAAAAAAAAAATAGTGTGTTTATGATAACCTGACCTACCTGGATGTTTTTAGGCCAAATTTCCGACCGAATTTTATATTGCCACATGTGGCCATAAATTTAAAGTAAAGCATATGTTGAAAATAAAAAATCTTCTCCATGCCAGTTGTTTGTGTGTTACTGGCTAATCATACATTTAAACAGGTTAATTAAACGGAATACCGTTAGAAGTATCCTCAAGTAAACAAAGTTAGTTGAAAGACCGACAGACACACACACATACACAAAAAGTAACAAAATTTATTAATTTTCCTACCTACCTGAATAATTTTAAGGGCGTTACCATAATTTTAAGGGCGTTACCATAAGCACTGTTATTTTCAAAGGGAAGGCCTAAAAAAAAAATAGTGTGTTTATGATAACCTGACCTACCTGGATGTTTTTAGGCCAAATTTCCGACCGAATTTTATATTGCCACATGTGGCCATAAATTTAAAGTAAAGCATATGTTGAAAATAAAAAATCTTCTCCATGCCAGTTGTTTGTGTGTTACTGGCTAATCATACATTTAAACAGGTTAATTAAACGGAATACCGTTAGAAGTATCCTCAAGTAAACAAAGTTAGTTGAAAGACCGACAGACACACACACATACACAAAAAGTAACAAAATTTATTAATTTTCCTACCTACCTGAATAATTTTAAGGGCGTTACCATAATTTTAAGGGCGTTACCATAAGCACACAATTCTTTTTCTTCTTGGCCTTATGTTGTAAAAACATACGATCAAAAAAATAAGAGTGTAGCATGAAAAAGCTAGTTGAAATTTGCTAATCTAGTGCTGCGTAAGTTACTGCAGCAGAGGGTCAACTCAGCTTCTCAGAAGCCAACTCGCAGACAAGCCCGTCGCAAGTCAATCAGGTCACAATATCAGGTTGAAAGTGACAGCAGATGAGTTAGGCCATCAGCCTCAGTCCAAAATTTTGGCCACCGGTATCAAATGAGGGGAATAATCGTCATAGCGATTTTTGGCAAGGTATACACCTCTAGAGTTGGAAAATATGTGATAGCATTGCAGCGGTTGCAGCTTTTTGGGTGTTATCACCCTTTTTTTTAAATTTTAAATGTCCATTGAAATGCTTGTTACCACTCTAGGGGCAGTGTACCTTGCTCATGCGCACTATAATCATTTATAACCTGATTTGATACAGGCCAAACCCCCAGGCTGATGGCCTAAGTAGTGACAAAGGAATGTCACAACTCATCCCCCGTCACTTGACTTGGGACTGGATGACATGTGTTTGACTTTTGATTGACTTGTACAACTCTGCTGTAGGCGACTGTTGAATTAATGAGGTAATAACAGTGTGAGGAGCCGGTCTTCACTGCGTGATAATGACCGGGTGTGGGGTGACCGCCTTTAAGGTTCTTTACCTGATGGCGGAAGCTGAAATCTCGTTTACACATTTCTTGTGTCCGGAATCTATGCTTGGTTTGGGAAAGGTAAATATGTCGGTGGGTGAAGTGTTCAAAGAAAATAAATTGTAAATCTACGCTTTCGTCGTAAACATCCTCAGTATATACTGCACTGTACTGCTGTACGATGTCGTTTCAAAACTTCCTTACGTGCGCGCACCCACGCATCCCTAGCAACTGTGTTGCGTACGCGCGCGTCAGTCTCACGCGATGGGGGTTGAGCGCATGTGCAGTGCTCTATTGTTACAAGCTACCGCAGGACTGTTACTATATTTTGACCGATCATTGGCTTGCATGGGGCTGAACGGGGCTGGATCAATGCTGGTTCAGGGGCCATTTATTCGCTTGATCTTTGAAGCCGGTCCATTATCACCGTTAATGCCTGGCCACGTGATCGAGTCTGGACCAAACAGAAACCATCAACTCTCCAAGGTATTTATTAATGGAAACTAAATGACATCAAAGCATTTCTGTTTGCTTGGTTACCTCTTTAGCGGCTTTGACAATGTACTCGGCTTTCTTTGGATCAAGTCCAAATTTTTTGTTCACCTCAGCAGCAGCACCCTTGAGAACTCCGAATGCCCGAATTAGAGGCACCTAAAATAGAATGGGAGATATTAATGATCAAGTGTGGAAAGAAACTGACTGCTGAATATTGCTTACAAAGGGGATCAGAAGTATATGTGTGATACTGTGTCAAAAAAAAAGAAGGAAAGTCCGTCATGAGCCAATGTGGCCCATCAGGCCGGAGTTTAAAGGGAAGATACAACATTTGCACACATCAAAAAACAGATTGATCAAATTATCATGAAATATCTTACTGGATTGTTAGGAAATGACAGTCCAAAGCATCCTGTAAAATCGTGGCTCCTGGTGTGCTGACATTTTCAAGAAAACTTGTATTTTTCCAACGCTGGTCGGTCGACCAGCGTTGGAGAAAACTTTTTTTCTCTCTCCAAAACTCCTCCTAATTTTTCATATTAAGTTATTCCGCATTTACTAATTTGCAATTGATTACACACCTGTGAAGGGGTACAAGCCTGCTAGACTGATTCTCTGACCTGCAATTCCCCAAAGTCTATAAATTGTTCCGTTTCATCTTAAGTGGGGTCAGGGAACCAGACTACAAGAACACAGTTGGTTTTCTTGGATTTTTTAGCTTTTCCGAACCCAAAACGTGAAGCAAGTCAGTTTGACAATATTTGCTATAACATACTAATCCTCCGAATCCATTTATTTATGAAAACTGCAGCAAAAGCAAATGTTGTACATTCCCTTTAACTCCGGTTTCAGCAGCATGAAACGACTGAGAATATTTCTGTTCCCCCTGGATGGGATGCTAGTCCATCGCAGGTTACTCCCCAGCTAATACGGGTACCCATATATACTCCTGGGTGGAGAGAGGCAAGTGCGGGTGATGTGGCTTGCCCAAGGACACAACACATGGCCAGCAGCTGGATTCGAACCCCGGGCCCTCTGATCATGAGTGACATTACCACTAGGCCACACTTCCCACTGTATGTAATTCATGTACACACGGTCTTCACTACCTGTAAAATTGTGTACCGGTAAGATATTCCTGGTGTGGACCGAACAGTGTAAAAAAAGAGGTGCACATAGTGCAGGTAGGGAAGATATTATTGGCGTGAATTACACACACTCCGAGGACAGACGGACAGAATACAGGGTAGTTAAAAAAAAAAGGACACCCACATTTGACAGCAATTTTCACCTATTTTTAAAAATTATTTTTAACTTTCAATTAGTAACTATTAAAGTACTGGCCTTTAAGCAAATGTGACGAAAAAATCGTTGCATTTGCACATTTCGTCGTTGAGCTATGCTAATTTGAACATTTCATGCGCGAAACCTGTTTGTCCACGGATGTATACATTCCCTTCGCTTGACTGAGCTCAGCTATCGGAGCTTTATTTGAAAGGGCATGACGTTTGATTGTTATGTTATGCTCAGCTATCGGAGCTTTATTTGAAAGGGCATGACGTTTGATTGTTATGTTATGTGATGTTATGCAACAATGAACTTAAGCCGACAGCTCATTGAGTAGATGATCTTAACACTGACATGAATAATTGGACAGCTTCAATTAAAGTCACCAGGGCAAAATATATTTTTGTGGTAAGGTTTTATAATTTTTATGAACTACGAAAACGTCCAATTTACATAGAATAACCCGTGGACAAGACTGATTTTGGTGACTTGTATTCAAATTAGCATAATATCACTATTTTTACGACATTTACTAAGCTTTTTTCACCATGCATGGTGAAAGGCCTATACTTTACTACTATGTGAACAAATATTTAAGATAAGTTCATTAAGTAGGTGAAAATTGCTGTCAAAAGTGGGTGTCCTGTTTTTTTAACGACCCTGTAGAAACCACCTATAAACACTGCAGAGTGAACATGATGAATTGCTTAGCCAACAGGAAAATGACAAAAAAATCACCAGCAAATCAGAACAAAATGTACATACTGGCATCTTCTCCCGTTCTCCTCCGATGTCAAAGTTCATGAAGGACCTGGCCGTGTTGGCTCCATAGTACTTGTCAGCCGGAACCTCCAACTCACCAAAGGTGTCTGTCTCAATACGAAACTTTTTAGCCTGAAAAAAAAAAAGAAGTACTCGTATATCAACAGCATTACTAAATTGCAAGTCCATCACTATAGTCACCGTTTTAGTCGATTTTTGGCTAACTTTGACAGATTTTTTGTAAAAAAAACCCAGTTTGACAGAAAATTTGACAGAATGGATTTTTTTGGCAGATTTTTAGCAGAATACTGCAAAAATGGTTATTTGACAGAAAAACAGCAAATTTGTAAAAAAAATGGTATATTTGTTTACAAAAGCTTCAATCTTTTCAGACAAATCCTTGCAAAATAGGACAGGTTGCCTGGTCTACCGGTAGTTGCTGAGGTTCACTGGGAACCGGATTTCGTCGTGATGCAACCGCGTCTTGCCTAAAATTTACGCAATTTCATATTATCTTTATGTGGCTATAGATTGTTTATAATGTAATTTGAACATTAATTAAGGCAACATTACAACATCTGCATGTGATTTAAAGTGTTTATAGTGTATTTCGAGTAATTCTGGGGAATTTGGCAGATTTTTGATAAATCTGGCAGATTTTTGAAGTGCATTTAGCAAAATTTAGTCATGACCTTACGGTCACCCTGTCCATCACTAGTCCATCACTGACTCCTCACAAGTCCATCACAGGGTCATCTCAAGTCATCTCCTCCAACGTCCAGTCACAAGCTATTCAAATGAACAGTGACAAAGCATGCGTTTGTTAGTGATCAAACCCCTGTTTACTTGTGACTGGACTTATGAAATGACTTGTGAATTACTTAGGACTACACTTGTGATGGACTTGACTACAATACTGACATGACTGATATGTGATGACTTTGTTACGCCCCAACTTTATCTGGTTCATAAGTGACGGCCTCATACACGCACACGCACCACTGATAACGATCGCCCATTGGCTGAACATGCCACTTTGCACTTCTTTCAGTTCCATTGGATCCATTGCTACGCCGTGCGCAGTGGGTGCGGTTCAAGTTGAATTGACGTCACACTAACGAACCCGATAGCATCGGTCCAAGCTGTAGTTAACACTGTCCTACAATAGATGAGATGCCCTGAGATGAGACTAGCTCAACAACATCTACATGTATAGTATTGTAGTTAATTGGGCTGGCCCAACTAATTAGGATGTCGACATTCTGCTACCTCGCAAGATAACCAGGCTAGACCGTAGCGCACCAGTGAAAAGAGGCAAGTAAGCTGTGTGGGAGCGCAGTACCAGTTGGAGGGTGTGTTGTACACACTGATCTCTATATAAAGACTGGATAGCGGATAAGGAGCCGCACAATGAATGAATTTGACGCCATATTGGTGAGACTGGTGAGACCGGCTGGTGATCTACAAAGGACAAGTTGCCGACTTTATAGACAGCATGATTACTTTTGTAACATCGCGGTTCACTTTAACTTATATTTTGACAACCACCACTGACCAAGGTTTACAATTTTTCTAACGTCATGGTTTACTTTTTTAATGCCACAGTTCACTTTTTCGGCATTTTGGAAATAATAATCACTACAGAAATGTGTCCTTTTTAGAACATCATAATATGTGTATGTGACCAAAATGCGCGTCAACTGTTGATACAGCGTAGAACGTTCGTATACGCGGCATCTTCGCGAGACCAGGGGCCAATTGGTCAATATGCAAAGTCTACTGTGTGAATGGTGTATGGATATCCGCTATCCAGTCTTTATATAGAGATCAGTGGTTGTACATGATGGTCAGTTCTGGTGTTTCAAAGTTTGCTTGTCGAGTGGATTTTTTTCTTTAGTGTTGTGTGTACATGTCGTCCATTCCGTAATACTTTAACCCAAAAGGAAAATTTGCAATGAAACAGATATTCTTGGACAATTATTACATGTAAAAATGCCGTTTCGATGATGTTTTCCTTATAATTTTGTTTTGAACTCCTGTAACATGTGTCAATAGTAAGACAATTATTTTTAGACAAATTGTCACTGTTTTTTTTTTGTTTTCAGGTAAACCTTTAGATCTTGAAGTCCTGTTTTACCTTTCTTTTAAGTTTTTTGTTTTGTCAAACATCTTTAAACCAATTTCATCCCTTTATTATAAGTTGACTGCTCTATCACTGTAACACAACTGCAGGAATTTTAAACGCCATTTTCTCAAGCATCAGTGTTAAAACTTCAAGCAAGTTGGTGGTCTATATTTCAATTACTGAACTCAGTACCCCTTAATGTTACATACCATTGGAATGCTCTTGTTGTGTCGAATCCAGACAAATAAATATCTCAATTCTCAAAAGTCTGATTTTAAGCTCATTTTGTGATGACAGGTCACAATCACGGTGGAATCTTGATAAGTCAAACCTCAGGGGAATAGGCTCAAATTTAAAAGTAGAGTTTTGAGTTATCCAATGGATTTTCTATTCAACAACAATAGATGGGAGTAAGTTTTTAGTTTGAGTTAGAAGGGTTTTTGAGTTAACAGGTTTTGACTTATCGAGAATTCACTGCATGAAGTAGGGTATGTGAATGGATCAAATAATGATAATTGTAATTTGTCCGGTTAATACTTTCACAGGTTACATTGGTAACAGTGATTTAATGATATTTTTGTTGGAGAGCAGCACATTAGAGGACCCTTGTTGATTCTTAGTTTTCTCACGATTTTGCACAAATAGTTTTAGGTTGTTCAGGTTACACCAATATTCAACGAAATAAATTTGCATCTCTGCAACAAGGTCATTTTGCAAGGAACCCTTCCGATGAAATTTTGGGGAAAACAGTCTGAAGAGCCGAAGTTGAGGGGACTACGCTTTATAATCCATTTTTTTTTAGGATGGAGGCTGTGACTAGGCCTGAGTAGTGAGAAAATTAATTTTTCTGTTAATCCTGGGGCCAATCCTGGAGTTCAGCACAAACGCACGTTACAATAAGAACGCACGGGCGAGGTGACAAGCTTTAATGAGCTATGATATCACTTCATTTACATACAGCCAATTACAGCGCGCACTGGTTTGGGAAGTAATGAATACACATTTAGCGAATACGCGGTGACCATGCAGTACTGTGCATGAAGAGCAAACTGCACGTGCACGGCGAGTTGCACACGCGGCCCTCCCGGCGCACACACAAGCCAAATTGGGTTATCGGCCGATTATACAGTCAATCAACTTCAGATTGATTAATGGTTTAGGAATATTGCATAATATAGGTACATACAGTAAATTTTTGTAAATTTCATTCAAATTTGGTTTGAATATTCACAAGAGTTGACAGCAACTAACTGTGCAGTTACTTTATGAATAGACTTCGTGAGCGACAGGCAAATAGACCGCCCCGCGGGCCATCAGGCTGAGCGACTCAGACGCCTTAAACGCATTGTTAATAAATGTCTGACAGAATCAGTATGCCCGAAGTGCAAATGTTGTCATTTTGAATTCGATAGGTACATACATAAAATTTTTCCACAAGCAGAAATATTTGGTTTCTACAGCAGGCAGACAAACTAAATTTACATGGGGTACAGTTACTATGTTCAGTACCGTTTCTTTTAGGAGTTGTGGTTTCAGTAAGTCGAGGGTGTATGCAATTATACCCATCTGTGTGTGAATATCGCGCGTATTTCAACGCTGATTGTTTGTATGGAGGATGGCTATTTACTTATTGTAATGACTTGCTATTTTGCTTACATCATGCTTTTGCTATTTTGCTTACATCATGCTTACATGTTGTAGACACAGTTTACAAGCCAAAACTGTGAGATGTACATGTACAATGTACGGCACATGTACGTATGTATCTACTGCTTTTGAGGGTTCTCATATGCTTGGTAATTTTCCATGCTTAGTAGAGCCATGAAATTGGGCCTTACTCAAACACCAGCACTAGAAAAAAAGGAGTGACGAAAAGTGACAATTTATGAACAAATAGTAACTTTATTTAACAAAAGCATCCACAGATAATGGTTTTGCACTTGAAAAATGGCACATAGAAAACATATATTTGATATATATACTGTTATAATAGAAAAAAAGGACATGAAAACAAAACAATTAATTAAAGGGAAAAAGTAAAAGCAGACTTATTATATCTACAACGAATATTGCATGGAATGAAGACTGACGCATGATATACACTGTGTTAACTGTTTCATGAAAGTACACGTATGACCATTCATCTACTTAGAAATCATGTTGAATTCACTAGTACAGTTATCCTATGCAAAAAGCATTCAATTCTTCTATCAAAACTGTTATTTAATAATACTTCATGTGGCATAGATACATACTGACATCGGATTTGATAAACTTACTTGGCCTTTATGTTTGGACTTTCTGTTTGGTGTGATAATGGGAGTCCATTTCACGGGTGGTGTATGCTTCCTCTTAAGCGTCTTGCATGTCTTGGGTTGCTGGCAGGTCACGCAAAGAGAGCAAAACTTCTCTACGGCTTTCCTTGGTACGAGCGCATACCTCGATTGGATCTGAATGAAAAGAGAAATGAAAAGAAGAGAGTGAAAAGTGTGGATAGTGTACTTGTGCACGGGCATCATGGGCGTCAAATCCTAGGGGGGGGGGGGGGGGGGGAGAACAGGGGACATGTCCCCCACTTTTTGAAGGATGGGAGACACAATATCAAATGTCCCCCCCCCCCAGATTTTTGAACTCGTGTGTCTCATTTACAGGGCCCTATTATGTCAAATACTATCTTTTGCTCCAAAAAGAAATGGTCACAGTTTTCAGAAATTGGCTCAGATCGCACCACAGAGCAACTAGAATCAATATTTTTTTTCGCGCCCTTAAACTGGCTCCGAACACCACCCCCTATAGCTCAGAATAGCTGATTCAACGACTCCAACCTCGAAAATGTTTAAAGGGAAAATACAACATTTGCAAACATCAAAAAATAAAACTACCAAATCATTTTGAAATACCTTGCTGGACTGTTAGTGAATGACAGTGTAAAGCATCCTGTAAAATCATGGCACCTGGTATACTGTCATTTTCAAGAAAAGTGGTATTTTTGTATCAATTTCCAACGCTGATCGGCCGATCAGCGTTGGAAAAAACTGGCTTTTTTTCAAATACTGGCCCCAGTTGACCATCGCACTTGTTTGCAATCGATTACACACCTATGAATGGGTACAAGCCAGCTAGACTGGTTCCCTGACCTTACAATTCCCCAATGTATGTAAACTGCTCTGTTTCTTCTTAAATGGAGTCAGGGAACCAGACTACAGGAACATTATTGTTTTTCTTGGTTTTTATAGCATTTTCGAACCGAAAACCTCAAAAAAGTCAGTGTAACTATATTTGCTATATATTTCCAACCCCCCAATTCCATCCATTTCTGAAAATTACAGCAAAAGCAAATGATGTATATTCCCTTTAAATGATTATCTTTTGCTCAAACAAGAAATTGGTTAAAGTGGTAAGAAATGGCCTCAGATGGCACCACAGAGAGCATCTAGACTAAATAAAAATTTTGGGGCCTGCTGAACCCCACGCCGTAAGGGCTTTGCGCTCACATTAGTTCTGATCACGGTATGTGCCCCCACTTTTGAATAGCGATTAACGCCCTTGACGGGCATCAAGTATTTTGTTCAGAAAGGGTAACAAATAAATGTGTTATACCGTGTGCTTGGATACTGTCATTTTATTGGTCGAGAACGGCCACGTGCCCAGCCTTTCAATGCTAGAAATGTTTTTCAGTCCAAATTCACGGTTTTTTTTTCTTTCAACATTTGCAATGACTGATCATCAATTGGGTTATCTACAGGGTGAGTAAAAACAGAAGGAAACCCAAAGGGCGCCCCCTATTTTTTTCTACAGAAGTTCTGCATGAAGCGTTTTCCAGATCTAGGATGCAAGAGCCCACTTAATAAGCTTTCTTTTAGGGGCCATTCAAACTTTTCAATGTTTCTAAATATCAAATTGTTTTGACCCACACAACCACCCCCAATTTTCTTTTTTTTTAAATGTTGAACTGCTATTCAATATATCCTGTACACTGAAGAACGAAGTAATGCTTCAAATGAGCCAGATGTTTAAGGTCAATGCTCTCGGCTCAGAAGTTTTCAATGGCATTTGCAGGCTTTCAGCATGCAACATTGAAGTTGAAACAAGAGAATAAAAATTCTTTTTTTTTTAGAACACAGTGGCTGACTCAAAATGTACATTGTACGTATCAAAACTGTATATGTCAGTACTGTCACTCTGTCTGTAAATGGGGAAGAAGTTGAAAAGAAACGTGCATCGGAATGCTCATGCATAGGCAAGTCAGGAGACTTAGGGTTATTTGGGGGGTTTTTCTTTGCTTTTTCTATGAAAAGTAAATTTTGAAGATTTTAATGATATTAATCGGAAAGAACATTTAAAAGTAGGATATAAATATCCACACAACTATCCTTTAACCCTAACCGCCCTGAATCCTCCAAAATCCTTTTTGCAAATTGGAGGAATTTGCAGAATTGAGGTTACATGGCCAAAGTGCGTTGCTGATTTCGGAGTACGCACTGTGTCAAGGTCTTTGGCCGGACCTTGTGTTGTTTATGCTCAGCCCTGCATAAATTTAGTCCTTGATTATACTTGACATCCTCCGCACTGCTCCAGGATGTCACTGCCTCTGCCTCAGCCTATTGACAGTCATAGCCGGTGGATTTTGCAGGATTCAGGCAGTGGTCACCCCTCCATGGACCATATTCAAGAAACAACGGAGGAATTTGCAGGATTGAGGCTATATATGCAATTTTTCCATGAGGCCAATTGGAGGATTTTGCAGGATTGAGGCTACATCCTAGCAAAAAGGCCTAGGGAGTTAGGGTTAAAGTTGGGCATTTCTGTAGTATTCTTGTGTTATTCGTGCGAGAACGACTTTCAGGGTCCACTTTTGCGACCCCAAAAAGTCGGGATGTTCGTGCTGGTTGGGATTCCGGCCATAACGGTTCGCCTTTTGCGGTAAAGAATCACATATTGTGCATTGGTGATTGGTCACCGCTGTTCGTTAGCTCGGTGCTGTGTACGTGTGTAATACTAGACACACACAGCGTACATCGTACATTGAAAGAAAACGACAGGAAACACTCCGTGTCCGACGTAAACAATCTGGATTTTTTTTCTTTTCTTGGGAACGGTACGACATTAGGTTTGTTTCCTTTCAACCAGAATTTTGAAATAGGCTAAGTAAACAATCCAAATCATGATATTTTCGGGGATTTCAGGACGCAGTGCCCCTTTAATTAGTGTTGGTTTCGAGCCCACCACTATTTCAGTCAGAAATAAAACACAAGTCTTGTCACAAGCAACAGGGGGGATGAACAGTAATATCGAAGGACAACTTTCATCACATTTTATTCAAATAGTTTGTGACTTGACTTGTGACTGGAAGACTTGTTAGGAATTCGGGCGATTCACAATGCAGAGTCCATTTTTTCAAGTTTGCGGTCGACAAAACATGGCCCATGAGTGTCAGTAGACAATTTGTTATAGATTGGGGTATGGCGTTCTGCCGCCTTACATAAAACACCATATTGATAAAAAGCAGAGAAAAGGGCAAACAGATATACTGGAATCATACGCTTACGAAACTACTGACCGGAAAAACGAATAATTTCAAATGCCCCGCGCTACGAATTTGTCGACTTTTTCCCACAATGCACTGGGAGAAACTTTTGGTGGCGCACTGCATTGTGAATCGCCCGAATTGTGATGGACTCCACTACAACATAAGACGATCTACATTACTCGATCTACATTTGTAAGAAGGGCTTAAAAAGGGTTTATTTTTTCTTGCCCCTGAAGCATGTGTTTTGCTTAATTCATTAACCCTAACTCCCTAGGCATTTTTGCTAGGATGCAACCTCAATCCTGCAAAATCCTCCAACTGCCTCCATGTCAAAATAGCATACAGCCTCAATCCTGCAAAATCCTCCGTTATTTCTTGAATGTGGTCCTTGGAAGGGTGACCACTGCCTCAATCCTGCAAAATCCTGTTGAGGCTGAGCCAGTGACATCCTGGAGAAGTGCAGAGGATTTCAAGTATAATCTAGGTCTAAATTTATGCACAACTAAGCATAACCAACACAGGGTACAGCCCAAGACCTTGACAAAGTGCATCCTCCGAAATCAGCCACGCATTTTTGCCATGGATACAACCTCAGTCCTGTAAAATCCTCCATTTTGCAAAGAGGATTTTGGAGGATGTATGAACCATTAAAGGTTATTGTCTTACCGCATTGAAAGTACTTTTGGAGCTGCCATGGCCAACAACATTGTCGTGTACATCTTTTATAACATCGAAAAAGTCCTCAAAGCATACAACCCTCTTACATGTTTCGTTCTAGAAAGAAAGCGAAAAAATGGCATAATCCAATGTAAAGTAAAAACAGTTGGAAGAAAAAAATGTTAGAACATAAATAAGTGTTATTCAAATAATTGTGGCAAACAGGGATTAGGACATATTGCAAGCAAACCCCCCCCCCCCCAAACAAAAAACAAAACAAAAATAATATGGTCAATAACATACTCCGCACATGGGCGTCGCGAGGGGGGGGGGCAAGGGGGGGGGGGCAAGGGGGGGGGCAAGGGGGGGGCAAGGGGGGGGCAAGGGGGGGGGCAAGGGGGGGGGCAAGGGGGGGGGGCACTTGCCCCCCCCCCCTGGAAAAGCAAAAAACAAAAACAAAAAAAACAAAAAGGAAGAAAAAAGGAAGAAAAAAAAGAAAAGAAAAAGAGGCGCGAAGACAAAGTGGTGTAAATTTAATGAGTTGGGGGGGGGGGGGGGATGTCCCTGCCCCCCTCTAAAACTGATAAATCGAGAATGTGTTGAGAAATACAAGCCTTTTTTGACAAAAATGTTTTTTGCCCCCCTCTAGAAAAAATCCTGGCGGCGCCCATGACTCCGCACCATAACTCTTATTTTCTCAAATCTAGAAGAGTTGTCCAGTACCTAAAAGGTAGAGTAAACCATTAGTAATTTGTGGATTTTTTCACAAAATTTCTCAAAATCTGCAGCCAGATGCTTAATAAAAAACTCTGAGGAACTTTTAGCTCTGGAATGCTCTGTATTTCAAGAAAACAGAACACACATAAACACAATATTCTGTATCTTGATTTCAATTCTAATGTGCTACCGAGTCCTACTTGGTCTAGCCTTCTTAGTTGGTTCATCTCCTAAATACTCCGCATGGGAGTTTATACAGGAGGCCAGAAACACCGGGGCAAACCCCTTCTCTTAGCGATAAGTGTCACTGTGTTCTTTTACGTGCATTTAACCCCTTTAACGGAATATACATCATGTGCTTTTGCTGTAATTTTCAGAAATGGATGGAATTGGGGGGTTGGAAATATATAGCAAATATAGTTACACTGACTTTTTTGAGGTTTTGGGTTCGAAAATGCTATAAAAACCAAGAAAAACAATCATTTTCCTGTAGTCTGGTTCCCTGACTCCACTTAAGAAGAAACAGAGCAGTTTACATATATTGGGGAATTGTAAGGTCAGGGAACTAGTCTAGCTGGCTTGTACCCGTTCATAGGTGTGTAATCGATTGCAAACAAGTGCGATGGTCAACAGGGGCCAGTATTTGAAAAAAAAAGCCAGTTTTTTCCAACGCTGGTCGGCCAGCGTTGGAAATTGATACAAAAATACCACTTTTCTTGAAAATGACAGTATACCAGGTGCCATGATTTTACAGGATACTTTACATTGTCATTCACTAACAGTCCAGCAAGGTATTTCAAAATGATTTGGTAGTTTTATTTTTTGATGTTTGCAAATGTTGTATTTTCCCTTTAAGGACGGGGTATAATCATAATGGGGACATTCCTCCACACATAGAGCAAGTGGCCCGCATGACTGCACAGCCTTTGTGTGGTAGCGGGACTGCACAAAAGCAGCAGCTGTGGAACTACCCACGAGCCGCGTGCCACGGCTTACCACAGCTGGCAAATGCATTCCAATGAGGATTAGCGGCCGCTGCCATGACCGCTTGGGTTAACACACACGGGACCTATGGCTTTACGTCCCATCCGAAGGATGAAGCAAAAATGGTTAAGTGCCTTGCTTAAGGGCGTAAGTGTCCACCCAGCGGGCTCAAACCTACGCCACTGTTGCCTCTGAAACCGCTAGGCCATGACACTCCACTAAGTAAGTTGCTACCGACTACCGGTACCCTTAACTAGAATCGTGGACCCCAAGATTTTGAGTTAAGAACGAACAGCAGTGTGCCTGCATGGGTTTCCATTTTGTCCATGTTGTCTGGGAACCACTTGGAGAAATTGGTATTTCACAATTAAAAAAAGTTGTTTTTACCTTTCCCTAATTCTGAGTGCGGGATGGTCTTGTATATTCACTGTTGAATTAACATACAAAACATACTTCTGCTGAACTATATACCGAGAGGTACATGTCCCCCCCCCCCCCCCCCAAACAATACTCACTTGTTCCTTGACTGCTACGAACTCTTCCTCGTTACCGCATGACTGGAGGCTTGCCAACACCAGCTTGTGCTTTTGGGTAAAGGCTCTAAAGCGTTTCAATCTTTGATCCGACGAACTCGCTTTGCTATCACCTCTCAAAACCCTTTCGACGATTTCAAGTTTTTCACGGCTTACAACCGGGCTTGTCCTAGACTCTGCATAGGTTTCGTGGCAGAACTCATCAAAAATGATTCTATTTTCCGTTTCATCCATATCGCGATTTCTAGTAGTACAAGTAGGCCCGAAAGAAAGTTATTTAATTTTAATTGACACTAAATGACACACAGGTTCAAGTTTCAGCATATGTGCTGTGTACAGTACACTGCAGCGCAGGGCAGCGTAGGGCAGCACTGTTCAGTGTTGGGGTTGTCACTATCAGCTTTATACTAACTTGGACCGATTGAAGTTAAGTTGGTGAGTAACATACAATTTCAAGTTCAATACAACTGCATGATTGATGTATCATTCATACAAATTACAAATTTATACAAAGTTAGCCAAGTATCCGGCTGTCAACCCATGGAGGAATAAGAACACACCTCCATGGTCAACCCAACACTCAAGTTCAATTTGGAATAAAACTTTGGCCTTTTTTAAAGTATATTTTCAACCATCAGCGCCACGCACCATATCACTTAAATGTCGACAAACAGAAGCTCCTTTTCGAACTGAATAAAACAAAAAATTCGGCCTCACGATGTTACGATGAAAACCTAACATTTGGCGCAAGAATTTTGTTCTCGATTATCAGCAGATGACTGGGGCAGGTTCCACAAAAAACACAACACGTGCACACTGCATGCTGGACGCCGCGGCGCGCACAACCTGCAGTTTATATACCGAGAGGTACCAGACTAGCTTGGACGAGTTCACGTTTTGTCTAGGTACATGTGCCCACATGTTTTTCGAATTGAGGACATTTTCTGACAAATAACCTTCAAGCTGCGATTTTTTTTATGCAAAATGAAATATTTTTTTGACTTTAGTACCTCTGTGTGGCTTACATTTGTGATTTGAAAGAATGGTAACTATATTGTAAGTTGTTTACACACACTATAAACCAAAATGGATTGGTCCACAAAAATGTATGCGCGATCGATTGATCGCGAATTGCAAAATAGTCATATCGTATTACGCACGCAGGTACGGGTGTATGCTGATTAGACTACATCGTTGTACCGGTAAGACACAAGATTTTCGTTTTTGCTTTTCCTAATGAACGTGTTTTGAGTAGTGCCATGAGAATGTAAGCATGGAGAAAAACTTCAACTCATTGAGGGCCTAAACAAAACAGAGAGGCCTAATTTTTTTTGGCCATGTTTCCTTTTTGTAATTTTGTTTGGCTCCTATCCTCGAGTCGTGCGCAATTTGCGTTGCCTGGCACTAGGCCTAGCATTAGCCCCTGTTTTGGGTGCGGGGGGGGGGGGGGGGGGGGGATCGTGTTACAGTGTAGTGTTGATTAAATCATGGAGCTTTAAAAAGGATAGCTCCATGATCACATTAGACATGTTAAATAGAGTCAAGGGTGTTTTTATAACTCAACTGTCAACATGACTTTTTTTTAACAAATCTAAGCAGACTTCTCTCAATATGATGACATCTTTTTTGTAAGTCTTGAACAGTTTCTTGGGGTAAAAATTAGATAGTGGATATTTTGCCGGAGGTAATGACGGCAAACTAACGATTACTAAAGGTTTGCCGGCGGCAATCCATATCAACAGAGGGCGCTGTACTCTTTAAAATAGGGCTAAATTATAAGATGTATTAAATTCCCACCAGAAGTTGTGTAGCACGTTTGGTGTAATGGTTAAAAACAAAGGCTCTAGTAAGCGGAATGACTCGCGTTCGATTCCGACCACACCACATTTTAAAGTTTTTTTTTCTCATCCCCAAATAAATAAGAATATTCTTCTTTTATTATTTTAACATTTCTCAAACATTTTTTGCAGAGTATTACATTTCCTTTTTCAGATTTGTGGCTCTGGAGGATTTTTTTTAAAAGGGAAATAAAGTCCGAAATTATAAAATGGTCTGAATCCCATCTTGTGAATACGAGGTAACAACGATAATTTTGGCATGGAGCCAGACTAAAACTTTTCACCGGAAAATGTTTTAAGTACAAAAAACAGTGACTGCGCATGTTCAGTGCATATCCGGCAAACTAACGTTTACTAAAGCTTTGCCGTCTCCGGCAAAATATACACTGCCTAAAAATTACGATTATACTAAAAATTTACGACCTGTAACGTGAGCACAGTGAAGCAGTGTCATTACTATAGTGTACCAATTAGTGATCGGTACAACGATAGGTTGCTATTTAATTCGTCGGATCAGTGCGCAACATTGCGTCTACAGCTTCAATCGGCTCAGTGAGATCATGTCCCGGACGCTGGATTCATGCTCAATTCAAAACATGATTCAGCAACTTTTGATTTAAAATCGAGATCCTAGAATGTTGTTTTTCTCGAAAAATGCAGCTGAAGCTGAGCTGAAACTTCATCAGGTTAGTTCAGCATCCTTCTTCCGATATTGAGCACGTTTGTTGCTTCAAACGAACAAAATGCACAAATTACAAATGATGGACTGTACCTTTAATAAACAGTTTCCTTTGTATCAGCTGACAAGTGCCGTAGTAAAAAAGGATACAAAATGTTTCAAGTTGTTATGTGGTATGTACATGTACTGTGTGAGAAAGCTGTACAATGTGTAAAATTGTAAAATCTATTTTGTTTTTGGCAGCATACTGTTTGTAAACCCAATCAATGTTATTATTTCCTGGTTTCACGATTTGGTTCTTCCATTTCGTTCAAGCGAAGATCAAAGGATAAGATTGGCAATTTGTGTGTTATGAATGCAATTTCGAGAGGAAGTTGCGCACACTACTGTGCTCATGGGGTCATTCAGAGTATGAAGGAAGTCATTTACAGTCTGCATTTGGCAAGATATGAGTATTGTATGCAAGATATTAGGCGAAGTAAAAAAAAAAAACAAGTTTCTCGTCCCCGCCCGCTTCCTTTTTGGAGGCCGCCTGGATTTTTTTATTATTTTTTATTGTTGAAAAATGTAGTAGAAAAACACCGAAAAAGTCTACAAATTCATCGGAAAATAAATACCAATACCAATACAACTCTAAATGACACTGTAAATATGTTCAGTTCTCTTGTCCAACTTGTCTTTCATCTTTAAAAGTGTCTTTGAACAGTGGAACACCAACGGTTGCAGGAAATTTTGAAAAGGCGGTCATCTTGAAAAAAATAAAAAATAAAAAGCCCCGCTTCCTCCCTTTTTTCAAAAACCCTGGACGAGAAACTATTTATTTTTTTTACTCGGCCTTATTTTGCATATTGAAAATGCAATTGAGACTTGCATGTGTTGTTGTATTTGGTTACTAGTCCAAAAAGAAACCTGAATGAAATTTTGTATTACATTGTACATGTGCAACCCTAACTCCCTAGGCCTTTTTGCTAGGATGTAGCCTCAATCCTGCAAAATCCTCCAATTGGCCCCATGGAAAAATAGCATATAGCCTCAATCCTGCAAATTCCTCCGTTATTTCTTGAATATGGTCCATGGAGGTGTGACCACTGCCTGAATCCTGCAAAATCCTCTGGCTATGACTGTCAATAGGCTGAGGCAGAGGCAGTGACATCCTGGAGCAGTATGGAGGTTGTCAAGTATAATCAAGGACTAAATTTATGCACGGATGAGCATAAACAACACAAGGTCCGGCCCAAGACCTTGACACAGTGCGTACTCCGAAATCAGCAACGCACTTTTGCCATGTAACCTCAATCCTGCAAATTCCTCCAATTTGCAAAAAGGATTTTGGAGGATTCAGGGCGGTTAGGGTTTTAATTGTCCAACAGTTCAACCCTGTTACTAGTCTAATATCAAGTCTGAATGTGCTTGGAGTGTGCTCTTTAAGTTCATGTGGCTTTAAACAATGCTGTCTTGGACTGGATTCAAGTCTGTATATTTAGTAGCTCTCAAAATCTTAGTCTTAATAGATGGTACATCATGTACAGATTTCACAGTGTGTATTTTTTTGTTTTACTAAGGTCAGTCGCATTAACAGTTGCTAGCACACGCCTGGCTTTTCCCCTGAATTCATTAAAACAAAATGAAACTGACATGATTGCATGTAGCAAATGAAATAAAGCCCGTTTTTGCAGTTTAAACATGTTCATTTTTGCTTTCATGTTTACATGTACATGTAGTCTCCAAGGGTTAAAATTTACCAAAGGGTAAAATTCTTGCTGGTACACATTATTATGGATTACCATGCAGCTATTCCATGGGATTACATTTTGTGTTTACATACATTTGTGATGCCTTCATTTGATCATCAAGATCTGTGGTTCAATATTAATGGAGTGAATATGACACACATTGCAATTTATGCATAGTGTCTGAGTCACCCTTCTAGTCTACATAACAGCAGTGTAGTGAACAAGATGTTCACTGCCTGTAGCAGGGTGACCATGAGGGTATGGCCAAATTCTGCTAAATGCACTTCAAAAATCGGTCAGATTTATCAAAAATCTGCCAAATTCCCCAGAATTACTAGAAATACATTATGAACACTTAAAATTACATACAGATTAGTAGTAATTGCCTTACTTAAGGTTCAAATTACATTATAAACAATCTACAGTCACATGAAGATGTTATGAAATTATTGCGTAAATTTCAGGCAAAACTCGGTTGCGTCACGACAAAGTTCTAGACCAGCCTACCTGTCCCATTATGCAAGGGTTTGTTTGAAAAGATTGAAGCTTTTTTAGACAAATTTTCTATCACATAACCATTTTTGCAGAATTCCGCCAGAAATATGCCCAAAAAATCTATTCTGTCAAATTTTCTGTCAAATTCGTTTTTCAACAAAAAAATCTGTTAGAATAAGCCAAAAATCGGCTAAAACGGTCACCCTGGCCTGTAGGCTGTACTAGACTATGCACACTTTGTGGGCTGTTTTATTTCACAAGTATCTGGAATAATATGGTAGTGTGCATGCATAACAATGTACATGTACATGTACAGTTTATACACGAATAGCATGCAAATGTACATGTACATGTACATGTATGCATTATTTATAGGTCCTTTTAACACTACTCCCCAAAATCTTTGTGTTGAGCTGCGGTCTAACCCTTTTCACGCTAGCAAGAATCCAACGCAGGTTTTGCAAGGGTCTGAGTACTGAGGGCTGAGAAGCTCCACCGTACCTCAATATGGAAGCCAAAATCTACAGCTGACCAGCGTACAAACTGAGTGTAATACATGTAAGTGTAAATGGCGCACACACTCTTGTTCTGTCATTGTAGGGACCACACACCTGTGGAGCAGTATACATTGTACATTTATTATGGGGACGGAAGATGCTATGGGGACAGCAGACAGTCCCCACAACTTGGTCCTAATTTCCCTAGCAATTGGCTAGGGAAGTAGCAATAGAAAACTTCCTCATAATTACAATGTGGTGTCAGATATAGCACTTTGTTGCGAACCCGTGTTGAATTAGCCATTTGTGAGTTAAATTGGAATAAAATCTGGAACGCTGACTTAATATGTGCTTTGCACGTTTTAACCTAGCATTCTTCTGACCAAAGAGACTGTTACTATATCACGTGATTTGGGGCTATAAAGCCTTATGCTAGCAACCCCCAGCTCCGGCATGGTCTGGTGTCTTTGTATCATTCTCAGCCATTGTGAACAATGTATTGGTGCTGAGCGTCTCTTACGTAACTACATGTATGCAAGAGCTTGCCCTGAATCATGTGATTAGCAACAGTGTCTTTGGTCTGGAGAATTCAAAGTTAAAATGTTCCAAGCATTCTGAGCAAGTCTGTGTACCAGATTTTTTCAAATGTACGGTAAATCTCAAAGGGGTATAGGTTACTCGCAATTGGCTTATTCGACATGGTTGAGTCCTGAATCCCCAATAATCAATCAATTTAAACGTTTTGTTTTTTTACACAGATCTTATGTCACAACCTAACATGTACATCTCAACTTGAAAAATACATGTTTGATACTGATACTTAAGACTTGAGACGTAAGAGTTTTTTAACACAGATCTTACGTCTCAACTTGAGACCTAAGGGCAAACAAAACTGTTAAATTAGTTGATTTTTGAGGACCTGCAAGAATGTTGGGAACAATCGTTTGTGTGGTCAAATCAATTGAGAACCTTTTTTCTGTGCATATTTTTTTTGGGGGGGGGGGAGTGTAGTAATTTAAAACTTGTCCAAATTTTGGCAGAGGAATGCGGGCCTGGGTGTCTTCCATGCCCTAAAAGGACATGTTGTCACCCCTTACAAAGTGCCAGGGCACTTTTGAATTGCTTCCTTTGTCATTCAATGCACTTTGCAAAAGTTTAATAAACCCTGTAAACTGTGCAATGTACAGGGTACAGGGGACCACACATGTCAATCAGATTTAGTTACACTTTACAGTGATGAATTGCAAAAAGATAAAATCAATCTTTTTTTTTCCTCATTTTTTTTTTCAAAAGTGTCTGTTCTTATTGCATTATGACTCCAATTGTTTGATTTGCTAAATTTGTTTTCAGTTTTGTCCTCTGTCATACTATTTTTGGACCCTGGCATCCTATTTTTGGCCTCAAAGGGACAAAAATATCTGATTTGTAAATTTGCATTGGCTATCTTTTGTACAGTATCACTTAACAAGTGTTTGTGTACACATTTCGATTCATCTCAAAATTACTCCATGTTATTGTATTGATCTTATAAAAGTGCATTGATCTCCATCTACATATGGCTGTGAAGTTCTGGTTAAAAATTCACATCATTCAATAGGCACAAGTATTTTCTGTTTAAATGTGAAAGAATTTCCTCCGAAAAAGATGTAAGTGAATTATAAGCTCCATCTATACTTGTATATCGATATTACTTGATTATTCGATATTATTTTGATATTGAAATGCTGATAGCAATTTTTAAGCATCTACATGTATATCGAAATATTCAATATTGAGGAATGATATCGAAAATACAGAAAGTGCGTCAGATTATCTTCAAAATTAATCTCCTGTTTGTGCTTTTACTTTGTGTTTAACTTTGCTATATGATAAAATAAAAGTTGGCGGCTACTTGTGCTTGTGATTCAAAATAAAACATTGCAAAATGCCATGCAGTGTCACTTTCTGTTCTGTTTTCGGTGGTATTGGCGGTCTCCCCTAATGTAAAAGCTGAAAAGAAACAGCCCATTCTGGACAAACTGTCAGAGCTGAGATTTGTTTTAAAAAGTTTGAGCACTAGCTCAAGAGAAAGCTGTCATCTTTATGGTCTTTAACTTTTACATGGGATACTTGATATGCATGATACATGTATGCATATCGAATATTCTCGATATTGGATTTCTGATTATTAAAAATTCTGATATCGACGGTGCTTAGTGAACTGAGGGATGTGTTAGAGTTGAGTACTTGCAAGTCCCTGCTAGTGCATCACAAGCGCATCATATGTGCATCAAAAGTCCATCACAAGTCAATCACACGTCCATCACACGACCATCACAAGTCCATTACAAGTCCACCACAAGGCTATCTCAGATTTAAGTATCTCAGATTTGTTAACACTGATGTTACATGTAAGTATCTCAGATTTGTTGACACTTGGGCCTATATTGTAGCCTTTCCTACTGCACGCTTCCGGGATGTACATATGTACATGTACATGACCAGGTGTACAATGTAAATACACAGAAAGCCACTGACATCTCTCAGCACACATAAAACATGATAAACCACACTTTTGTATAGTTTTTTTTTTTTTTTTTTTTAACAAGTACCAAACTTGTACCGGTCATTCAAAACTGTACATACATTGTAAAGGTACATGTACATGTACGTACATTATGTACATGTACATAGTACATGTATATAAATTATATAGCGCTAACAGTCCTGAATCTTCCAATTTTAATATGATTTTGCACACCCCCTAGGGAGTTATGGGTTAATAAACCAAAATGTAAAATGCAATTAAAAAAAATATAAGGACAAATGTTCAATTGAGAACCATTCCTAGTAAAAAAAAAATACTGGTTATGCTGGTCATAAGAATCTACATGTACACGTTTGTATAATGCACCATTCTACCAGTACTTCTTATCAGAAAGCCTTCCATGTATGTAAATCAGTAACAACTTCCGTTCAAGTTGCCTGTACCTGCATTTTTTCCGTCATCAGAACTGTTTTATCAAGATTTTCCTATTGAAAAGTGGGAGATTTATAGAGGAGCCTTTAAATTTTTGGATTAATTCTCACAAAAGGGCACATTGAAACTACATTTTGTAGTTTTGTTTTTCCTTCCATGTTGTGAGTCCTGGATCCCTGCAGATTTTAGTGTTGGAAACAGGGCTTATTACCAGTTACTTAAACGGTGGAAGGAAGTTGACTTCCCGTAAAATTTTGACACTAACTTCCTTACTTATTTTTACTAAGACTAGAAGACCATGTCCATCAAAATCTATCTCTCACTCAGCTTCACATAATGCTTCAGTACCAAATCCGTTGAAATCCACCACTGGTGCTGGTGGATTTTGATGGACTTGGTGCACATGGCTTACATGTATCTGCCCAAATCCCCCGAAATGGGAGGATAGATTTTGATGGAGTTGTTAAGTTCGTGCATTGTGCATTGACTTGTACCATGTACTAAATTAACAAATAAAACTGACTTTGCTTCCGGCTGCTACATGTATGGCACTTACAGGTTTTTGGATTTCAAATACATGTAAAGCCTTTTATTTGTTTTATCCTGACTGTTTGTTTCTTCTTTCAGTTTCCTTTTACAGGTGCAGTGAAACCTCATGTGTCTCATTCATCCAGCATCTTGCCAACTTACATGTAAAGGCCTGGTTGAAATCATTTGAAGCAGAACTTGGTGTTTGTATATGTACAGGAAACAATAACGTACACGTACAATGTATGTTCTCCTGGCTCTTGCCTTGTGAAAGCTAGAGTGGACCGGCCATAATTGGCAAAACGTATGTGAATTACAACACGTATCTTCCGAAGTACACAGAACTTGTTTTGTGGCCTACTGTGATTGCCTACAGCTTAAGCTTTTGCGGTTGTTACTACTTCGTGCACAATACCAAAAATAAAATGGAGCTGACGTGGTTGTACGCATCCCTGATAATTGCTGTCTGTTGCAACACGTTCTGTGCCGCGACAACACAGACCAGTTCAAAACAGACTAATTTTGTCGTCTTCATCATGGACGACGTGGGAATGGGCGATCTGGGCTGTTTTGGGAACGACACGATGAAGACCCCGAACATCGACCGTTTGGCGCAGGAGGGGGCCAAACTCAGCCACCACTTGGCTCTGCCGCTGTGCACACCGAGCCGAGCTGCGCTCATGACGGGACGACTGCCTGTCAGATATGGTGAGTGGTAGAAGTAGGATTCAGCAATTCCACACCAGAATCAAATACAACTTTAGTGTTGAACCTAGTCTTTGTTCAGGACTGGACTTGAATTTTCATTCCCCTATTTTGCAGCCGGTCACGTGACGAACGCGGTTAACCTGCTGCGGCGGTGGAGGTCTCTATATCAAATCCAGTCTTGGCAACATTGGCAGCACTACCCAGGAAAATCCGAGAATACCTCACACGCGCTGTGTTCGATCTAATACATGCGCCTGAGGTATGCTCGGAATATCCTGGGTAGCGCTGCCAATATTACCAAGACTGGATTTGATTCATCTTGCTGATAGCGACATCGCTTGTCACGGAACCGGCTGTAAAAAGGGGAACAAAATCCCATTCAGTCTCGGACCAAGCCTATGTTGAACCCGGAATTGGGCCTTACGATCTCCACTTTAATAAATCCAAACATATCTTCCATTGTTTAGTTCCGACATTTTGTTTGATCCTTCCTTCAGGAATGGGTTCCAGGCACATCATGAGAGTGTTTACGTTCCTCTCGGCCAAGGCCGGACTCCCGTCCAACGAGACCACCATTGCCGAGCTTTTGAAGGAGTCTGGCTATTCCACTGGACTTGTTGGTAAGAATTCTCTCTGTTGGGGTCCAATATTGGCTGCTAGAATTTGCACATGGCGAAGTTACACAATAGGCTGCAGTAACTACTGACATTGTAAAGTCCCCCCAATGTACAAAAATCCAATCCAAATCTCTGTTTTGCTCGATATTGAGAGATTCAGTACGGAGGCCACAATGGGTTTTCTCTAATCAAAACATCTGCAAGCAATTTTTATTCATGGCCATATTACTTCATTGTTTTTCCTAAGAATCACAACATAACACTGCCTCTTTCAGTGTGGACTGTGTCAAAGTCCACTTCTTCTAATTATGAACCTCATTGAGACATACATGTATGTACATGTGCTTAGCTTTTTGCTGTTCCACAGTCCTTGGAATTAGGCAAAATTGCATTGTGTTGAATTGTTACTCAGCAACAGAAATCTGTTTGATTTTTTTTTTTAGGAAAATGGCATCTGGGCTCTATGTGTGAGTCAGAGACTGAGTGTTCCCACCCTAATGGTCAAGGCTTTGATTACTTCTTCGGCCTACCTCTAACAAACCTCCGAGACTGCGGCGGCAAGAGCAACGTCTTTGTTGCCTGGGATCCCCACATCTACCGCGACATCGTCCTGACCTTTCTGGTGCTGCTGTGGGCGGCCTACACGGCCCGTAAGAATGGCTACATTGGGCCCCAGGGCTTTGTGGTATGCGTGGCTACGGCGGTCATACTCTGCGGGGGCTTCTTTGCCTTCATTAAGTCCATCCGCATGATGAACTGCGTGTTGATGGAGAACCAACGAGTGGTGGAGCAGCCCCTCCAGTATGACCGACTCACGGAGAGGCTCGACCGTCGAGCCGTCAGCTTCCTGGAGCAGAACCACGACAGACCCTTCCTCCTAGTTGTGTCCTTCTTGCAGGCCCACACGGCCCTCTTCCGATCAGAGCGATTCACAAATCACAGTCGGCACGGTTTTTACGGCGACGTCGTGGAGGAGATGGATTCGAGTGTCGGGCAGGTCACTGCCACTCTGAAGCGGCTAGGCTTGGAAGACAACACATTCGTTTACCTGACTTCAGACAATGGTGGTCACGTGGAAGAGTTCTCAGAGGAAGGGGAAAGAGAAGGAGGATGGAACGGCGTCTTTAAAGGTAGACAAAACTTATGTTCAAATATCAAGAATCGTATTTGATTCTAGACTTCCAGTGACTGAAGTCTGACTTGATTCAACATTTGCGTGACACAGTAAACATTGTAAACAGTGGATACTATCCGAAATGTTGTGCAACTGCATATTTACCTATCACCCATTTCATACTGACGTTCAAGAGTTGTGCCAGATCGAATTATTGAAAAGAGTGAATTAAGATCAATGCATTTTTGAAACAACCTGGAGTGATTTCATGTGAAAGACTGACTGTTGCAGTTGCTGGAAATTACTCCAGATTCCAGTCAATGGAAAATTTATACATGCAGTCTGCCTCTCTTCAAGGTAGAGTTTATCATTTGCACCTGTCCAAAAAGTAACTGATCAGCTTACTTGGCACTAAACTCCCTGTTAAATTATTCTTTCTGGCATGCTGTCATTTTGAAGAAAACAGCAAAAGAAGACCATTTCCAAAGATACGTCTAAAGACGGCTTTTTTTTCAAAAACTGCTAATTTTTCATATTTAGTTATTCCGCATTTTCTTTACAATAGATTGCACAGCCTGCCAAACTGATTCTCTGACCTTACAATTCCCCAAAGTCCACAAATTGCTCCGGTTCATCTTAAGTGGGGTCAGGGAACCAGACTACAAGAACATGATGGGTTTTCTTGGTTTTTCCAGCATCTACAAGCCCAAAACGTAAAAACAAGTCAGTTTTTATTTATTTAACATTTGCTATAAAATTCTAATCCTAAAAATCCATGTATTGCCGAAAATTGCAGCAAAAGCAAATGTTGTACATTCCCCTTACTTGTTTGCAAACTAGGAGGGAAAGCCAGCACCTGGGAAGGCGGCATCCGCGTGCCGACCATCGTCAAGTACCCTGGTGTGGTCTCTCCGGGGTCAGAGGTCACAGAGCCCACCCAGCTGTCAGACCTGCTGCCGACCATCGCAGGGATCGCGGGCGTACCGCTGCCAGACGACAGGGTTTACGACGGCAAGGATCTCATGCCGCTGTTGCGAGGCGAGACGATCGGCAAGCCCCACCACGAGTTCATGTACCATTATTGCGGGAGCTATCTGCATGCCGCCCGCTACACGCCATCAGGTATTGAGGTTGACATTTAGTTCAGGGATGCTGACTACGGGCTCCGTGCGCCGACAAAAGAGGGCGCCCTTTGACCTAGCGACGATGTCCCATGGGTGGGACATTTTGTTGGTTGACGCGCACCATTCCTTGTGTGTGCAGGGGTGTGAAATCTCAGCTTTAAAGCTGATTTCAGCTTTTTTTGTTTTGGATTTCAGCTTTTTTTTCAGCTTTTTCCCTCACTTGCTGTGTACAAAAGTATAGGAGATTTCCAAAGTTCAGCGTTTTACACCTTTTTTCAGCTGTTTTCAGCTATTTTTATCAGTGGTCACTCACACCCCTGTGTGTGACGCACGTACACCAGGGGATCTGTACTATGTACACGCAGTGGCCGTGCTTCGCTGCAAATGAATTGTAGTCAGGCAAGATGGCCTCGGTCGGTCACCCCCAACTGTACTTCCTTCCTTTGCCGGTGAGGGGGTACTTGTGAACGGAGCGGATAGCCAGAATTTCTGGCTTTTTCACGTTTTGGAAAAAAAATCAAGAATTCCATCACTTCCCGGCCATAAAAATAAATCCTTGTGTTGCGTGCACAGGAAAAACATTTACAATGTATAACAATTTGAAAAACGGCTACACGTCATCGTTCGGCCAATAGGGAAATCATTTGCTAAATGATGTTACATTCTTTTTTTACAAATTGACATGTGACAATTCTAAAACAATGAAATTACATTATCCGAGACACGATTTAAAAATCTGGTTTTCGCATGTTTTGCACAATCCCGCCAGTCCACTGTACTTCTTATATTATTTAACCTGACATTTTGACATTGTTGGTTTGTTGTCCCTCTCTCAATACAGACTCTGACAGCATCTACAAAGTTCACTTCAGCAGCGTCCTGCACGTTCCCGGACCCCACGGCACCACGGGCTGTTTTGGCACCTATGCCTGCCGCTGCACGGGGTACTCTGTCATCCAGCACGACCCACCTCTGGTCTACGACCTTACCCACGACCCCTCCGAGCTGAACCCCCTCGACCCGGACGACCCCGAGGTCAGCGAGGTCATCTCCAGGATGCAGGAGGCGGTGGCCGATCACCAGAGTGGACTGGTCAAGCAGCAGGACCAGTTTGGAGTTCTTCGGCTGCTCCCCCGTCCCTGGAAGCAGCCGTGCTGCGGCACGTTCCCGTTGTGCTCTTGTAAAGACTCCCTGCATTCGGAGAAACCCATGTTACCGGAGGTGGTGAACCAACCAGACTGGGTACCAGTGGCCGAGGACATTCCACAGAGTTGAGGTAATTTCCCTTAACTGAGGTAACTTGAGGTAACTTTCCTTAACCGAGGTAACTTGAGGTAACTTTCCTTAACTGAGGTAACTTGAGGTAACTTTCCTCAACTGAGGTAACTTGAGGTAACTTTCCTTAACTGAGGTAACTTGGGGTAACTTTCCTTAACTGAGGTAACTTGAGGTTACTGAGGTAAATTGAGGTAATTCTGAGTCTCCCACCATTGGAGGGAAGGTATTACAATTGTCTGTAAATAAATTTACTATTTTGTGTTCTCTATCCACTTGGCTCAGTTTCATTAGGGAATCTTCACAAATGCAAACAACACCTGTTCGACTTCTCACCGAGGATCGGAGCTGGATATAATAGTTGATCTGCAAAAAAAGTCTTTCGTGTGTAATTACACTGGCAGTGCATGGAAATAAAGAGAAAGAATAAGAAATGGTGCTCTTAAAAAAACACATGAATTGGAGAATTTAACTGGATTTTTTTTTAACATTCCTTGTTTTTAGAGGCAAAATAATGTTCAGGATTTTATTTGTGTCATTTTTATGTTACATGTAATGTACAGAAAGACAAAATGTGTGCTCTTGAAGTGTGTGCTACTTGTAATAGTGTAGACTTTATGAATTATTAATTTGTAAATATTTTGAGTATTAATTAATGTTTAATATATATTTATATATGTGGGAGAACGTTATTTACACATAACATGTAACATGATTTTCTTTCCTTTCTTAAATTAACCCTTCTGCTGTCTGAACAGTCACAGACAGTAACAAAAAAATCAGTCCTGGTCCCCTGCCATGCCTCTTCCACAGGCTAGTCACCAACAGTCAGAGCATATTTCTAGCAAGCACTGTGACAAGTCAGATTCAGTCAACAGACAAAAGCGGGTACAGTCAAAGCATAGCTGTACCAAGTAAATAAAACAGTCACAGCCAGTTAATCCCAGCTTTATTGAGTGCTCCCCGCCTTTTTGAGGGCTATTATGCTGGCAGGGAGCACTCAACCATTAAAACTGTCACTTGACTGATTTTGACTGAAAGGACAACATTGCACAGAATGTATGTTTACATTGGAGTGTTAATGTAAGTTGCTGTTGGAAATATTTCAATGAAAATAGGAACACAGTGTGCTATGCATCCGAAATGAACACCGGTGTAAACCCATTCCACCCATTTGGAAAAAAATCCGGGCAAGCTTTCCAAGAAACATCCCTGTTTCTCTACAACAATTAAGAATCTATATTGTAAACAATGAAAGTTCATTCAAGGCAGTTGTTTAGGCAGTAAATAGATAGTCGAAGTTTTATGTACATGTATTTGTACATTAGGAATAGGAAATCCTTGTTCTTTTATGAAATGCACTTTGCTGTATGTACATTGTACACCATTTCGACACCTACATTGTAACTTTGTCAATATTCGGTATTTTATGAACTTTACATTGTTGCTACGTAGGTAATTTATATTCGTGCAATGTTTTTATACTTTTAGCTTTTAATGCTGAATGAAATTTTGCCTTTTGGCTGGAGGGGTATTGTCATGAAAGTTACCTTGAGGTTTCTTACTGTTCAGATATCTGTCCTTTTTTATCTTGATGTCCATGTCAATGTAGATGTGCTATTGTTCAGGGCAGCAGGGTGTGTTTGAAGTCGTCGTTTTTTTAACGAAACTTAAGTGAATGGTTACCTTTGGAACAAGAAAGGTTAGCATTATTCGGCAATCAGCCGGGATAACCCATGAATGTCTTCCGACTCATTTCCAGTGGGCATGGTGGGGTCCCATGGTAGAAGATGTGGAAGGAAATTCTAGTTTTAGTGGTGGGAGGAAAACCCCATGTATGTATTCTAGGAGAAACCCACGGAATCGGGCAGCCGCAGGGACTGAAAACCCAATCCACGTATTGGCCCAGGCGGGATTCGAACCCCGGTCACAGCAGTAGAATTTTATTTGGAGTTGATGAAATGTTCATTGATTAACCCGTACTCTCTGAGGGTAGTTTACTGCATGTCAGTTGGTTATGCCAATGCCCTCCAGCTGCAGTTTATTGGCAGATAGTTTGTCTTAACAGTGAAGGCTCCAATTGGCAGGAGTTGGAGGCCCTGGAGGGTGCCTGATACTGACCAGCTGGGGGCACTCACTTTGTTATCAGAGGACTCTCATTGTTCTCTGTGGCATGTATTGGAGTGCCTGTCCAGTTACCCTTGAAATGACATGGCAGATATTGGAGGGCCATGCAAAAAACATAGATTTTCTTGAGGCACATATTGGCATGCGTTGGAGGGTCTAGTAGGGTAAGGGTTAGTGAACGCATAAAAAGTTGAAGGCCTTGACCACTAACTTATAATGTCAACTTGTAGGTGGTGTTATTTCAGGAAAAGGATATTTGGTATTTGTTCTAGTAATTTGTGAAGAATTAACTCGGGTAGGACAAAAGGGGACAGTTTGCTACCACGACCACTCCTAAAATACCCGTGAAAAGGTTACTGTGATGTCCAAAATCTGAAAAGTAACAGAGGATTCAAGTCCCTGAACCCCCCCCCCCCCCCCCCCCCGCAGCACTCCACCCACTTCTTATCATCTTTTCCGAAAATAGTATTTTGTCAATTATCTTTTGAATCTAAACATCAGATATTTTGCCTTTTAGCAGCTCTTTCTTCATCAAATATTCATCAGATGGGCTTTTACGTCAAATTAGGTTTTGCCCTTCAAATATACGGTGTTTATACGTCGTGAAGGGCAAAACCTAATTTGATTCATCAAATATATGTCGCATTTAAATGTCTTAATTGTATTTATCCAAAGATAGCTCTAGCAATCACCAATGCAAGGCTGTTGAGAAAGAATCAAGTTGCTATTTAAATCAGTTGCTATTGATATTGTTATTAAGTGCGTATGTTACATTGTATATATTTTATAATAAAACATACATTTATACTAGGAACATGTACATTATTTTGATAAATACGTATTTTGTCACCCATTTCCCCCCCCCCCCCCCAAATTAAGTGGTTCCGTACATTTTTGGTAACATTTTCTACGAAAGAGGAGAACGTTGTTTATTTCTCTCTCGCATTATTCCTTGCTGGCGTGCAGAATATTCTCCTCGGGTGAATCTGCGCGGTGAAATAAGATTGCACAGTTTTGCACACACTTTGCTGCACTTTGATTGAAGGAAATTTTAAACTTGAAAATATAACTTCTTTTAGTGAGTAAATTCAGCCTTTTGACGTCTTTCCTCTTGGTTTTTACTCAAACCGTGTATGTAGCTTTATTGAACTATTTCAGACAAAGAAAGTTCACAAGATAACATTATATACATAACAATTCGGGCGTTTCACAATGCAGGGCGCCACCAACAGTTTGCCACGGAGAGTCAATTTTTCAAGTTTACGGTCGACAAAACACGGCCCATTTGAACGAGTATCAGTAGACAACTTGAGCTAATTTGTTAAGGATTGGGGCATAACGTTCTGCCGCGTTACAAAACACACCATATTGACAAAAAGAAACGAAAAAGGCACTGCGAATTTGTCGACCATCTCCCACCATGCACTGGGAAAACATAACTCTCTGTGGCAAACTCTTGGTGGCGCACGCCATTGTGAAACGCCCGAATGAGGGATGTGACATCATTCATTATTTCTCTTAATGAAATTGTGCAAATATAAAGTTGTGAAACTAGTACATGTACATTTGTTTCTTACAAGTCAAAACAACATAATTTGGTCCTTGGCCGTGCTGAACAAATCCAACGTATCCATACAGCTTTGGCAAAGGGTCTGATAAACCCTAACAGAACTCAACCCATCAAACCCCTACGGCATGTGTTGTTGGAGTCTGTCAGGATGGGTACAGTAACCCTAAACTGACAGTCTTTTACATTGGGTTGGCACACCTCCAGAATCAAAAGTCAGAAATACAATGTATATGTGTGTGTGCAGTTTCCCATATGTGACCCGCTCCGCAAAAATGAGGCTGTTGTGGCAAAACTGACATTTTGAGTTAACTACATTACTAAAATGGGAATGAAATAAGCTTTCATTTGGTATATCATGGACCTCTCTAGGACATTTGGTTGCATTGTTGTGCTTGTTTCATTCTGTAAAGTTTTTGCAAAGCTAGAAGTGTCTCAATGGAGAAAAAGGGCTTTGAAAAATGACGAATACACTGTAACTAACCAAGAAAAGCACCAAAGATTCATAATTTTTTTCTTTTTCTTACAATATTTACATTTTTGTGTAAGATATTTGAACTAAAACTATCAAACAACCAAAATAAAACAAAAACAAAAAATCCAAATTTTGAGCAAATTTTTACTGTTTCCATTTCAAAATGGCAAAAGCTTGAATTCAAATTATGGGACATCAGACTCATTTTTGCAGAGTGGGTCACATATGGTGTTGGAATTTGCCAGGATGGTTATGGTTCCTTAGTAAATCATGCTAGGGAGTTAGGGTTTGGCACAAGAGTATTCCATCTTGATGAAGCATATTAATTATACTCTTGTGTTTAAACAGTGAAAATGCCATGGAAATCCGCTCATGGGTAATTCCATAAATCAGGGGTCCAAACTTGTGACATTTTGGTTTCTCTGTTACACCGTGAACCATTCAGTGTTTTTGCACGTAATAATGTTATAACTTCATAACTTTGTAGATTGTACAGTACACTATACTGTTCATATATAATACAAGCTGGTTTACCCGATCATAGATCGGGTAGGGCGTAGTGTTGGGGATGAAAATGTGGGGGAGTTAAATGTAAATGGGGGATATAGTTGGGGAGACATGCAGTAAAAGAATAGCAATTTCTGTGGTGTCGGGTAGGGCGTAGTGTTGGGGATGAAAATATGGGGGAGTTAAATGTAAATGGGGGATATAGTTGGGGAGACATGCAGTTAAAGAATAGCAATTTCTGTGGTGTGATCTGAGGCAATTTCTGATCACTAAAACCAATTTGAGCAAAAGATCATCTGTGAAAGTTTTGAGTTTTGAGTAATTGAATCAGCTACATGTATTCTGAGCAATAGAATCATTATTGTAGGCAACAATATTTTTATTCGGGGAAGAAAAAGTGTGTGTGTGTGGGGGGGGGGGGGGGGAGACCAAACAATGTCCCCCCTCAAAATGTGTGTGTGTGTGGGGGGGGGGGGGTCCCCTGTCCCCCGTCGATTTACGCACATAATAATTATGTACCATGGCAACTGTCTGTAAATGTTGCCGTTGGTCTGTTAAATTGGCTTTTTGTGAGGCAGTCGCATTTGGAAAACGTAGTGAAAAGGTTACTGTAGTACACAGGCGAAGGCTGGTTGTACAGTTTGACAATAAATCATAATGCAATAAAACGTGAAGGTGCCATTTAAAATGAAAATGTTGAGTGTTACCAAAAAATTACAAACGGTCTGAATCATGGAGGAAGGTCATAATTAAGTTTCAATATTGGGCTCTTCAACAAACGTAAACTTGAACTTCTTACAATTTGCGAGACCGTCTGCGATTCAACTTTTATTCAAGTTGGTTCAACCATCTATATATAAGAGCAAGTTTTACTCGGCCTCCGAGAAATGTTTGCTTCTGAAAGGATCCGAGACCGCGGCTTCACGTCCGTGGAAAAATGTGGGTGTCTTCCGCCGGGTCGGACACTTTTTCGTCGATTTTTTTGTGACTTCGTTTAAGATCGCGATAGTTGAAGCGATGCATCGATCCTTCGTTGACCCCAAACAGGCCCCCGAAATTATAACGCTACACTGAATTATACGTGGCGGGCAGCGAACTCACAACGCTCAGCCTTGGTGGAAGCTCGAGCTGTAAACACATTATGGAAGCAACAACACTCTATCACGCGACGTCACATGCTTGTGCTTCAAATAGCGAGCACCGTAGACTCAACCTCGTTTCCAGAGTGTGGAGCAGGCTGCAGTACGCGTTGCCAGTGACGGTTTTACGCATAGCCGGGAAGTACCACGCAGTGTAGACTTTCGATTGGTCAGACCGCGCTAGGCATACTAATGTGTAGTCCTTCTGAGTATTCGTTGCACTCGGCGCAGGGGCGGCAAGCGAAGCATATGAAAGAATAGGGACACTTGGTGGCCACGCACCATGGACAAAAAATATTTTACCAAGGTCACCACATACTAACGTTTGGTGAACGCTTTTGCAGAAGGGCCGAGTAGAACACGTAAACGAAATCCCTACGTTGACCTCGCTGACCTCGCACAGTCTAGACACGCAGAAAAGCCAGCACGGGGGGCGGCCAGGCAGTCAACGTGAAAGCGCACACGACGGCAAATTCCTGTGCAAAACGCAGTCACGAAAAATCGACGAAACGGATCGCCAGTCCGTACGGGAAAATTAGGACGACCCGAAGCGTCCGACCCGGCGGAAGACACCCTCCGCATTTTTCCACGGACGCGGAGCGATTTTGGCGCCGCGGGAGCCCGCGGTCTCGGATCCTTTCATGAGCAAACATCGTCTCGGAGGCCGAGTTAAACTCTCTCTTATATATATAGATACTGTTCAAATCTTCAAAATGTTTCATTAAGCTGTTATAACGTTAGGTGCAAAAAAACCTGAATGGTTCACGGTGTAACAGAGAAACCAAAATGTCACAAGTTTGGACCCCTGATTTATGGAATTACCCTCATGCAAACCAGAGATCTAACAGATTGTAAAAGGCTATGGGTTTTTCACCCATTCCAATGGGGTTTACGCAGTTAGCAATATCAGTTCATGAGATTGTCATGGGCCTTTTCACTCTAATGTAAATTAAGTTGACTGTGTAAATTCTATCCCATTGGAATGGGTGAAAAACCAATGGCCTTTTACAATCTGTTAGATCTCTGGTTTGCATTGAAAGGATTTCCATGGCATTTTTACTGAATGTTTAGGCCTACACAAGAGTATAATTAATATGCTCCATCAAGATGAAATACTTATGTTTAAGTAGTTTTTGCGAAATTAAAAGATATCTGCTTGCACGAATTTTTTGGGGACACCCTCAGAACATGGGCATTTTGGGGTAAACATGTAGGATAGCGCTGCCTTGCTTACAAAGTGTGGTACAGAATTAAGACACTAAGATGCCACTCTGGTACCAGCAAAAAAAGAAGAAGAAAGAATGTTGGGTTGTTTATTGATTGTTGATTAAAAAAATAAGCAGTTGACCATGTCTTATTGTTTAATGTTAAATTCTTAATCTAGGCTAAATAATTAATGCAAAAATAATGCAATCATGGTACCAAAATTGATGGAAAATTTTTAAGACAAATTGGCTGATGATGGATATTTATGCAATAGTTTTTGAAGCTGTTAATTAGATCACTTATGTACAGGTTTGCAGGAGAATAATTAATAGGCATTGTTTTAAAACACCATTAATGATTTAAACCTATTATATTTAACATGTTTATTTGGAGCTGTCCGTTATTTTTTTTGCAATATATTCAAGGTCAAAGTTTACTGCAGAGTGCATGTGTATAGCACAGGAATAAATCAATATCCCTTTGATTGTGGATTGGATGTGTCTCACTGCATTTGAATGGAATGATCAATAAAATTGGCATTCAAAGATAATTGTTGCCCTTTTCCCCGTTTGTACAATATTTTCCCATGCATGCCATCTTCTGTGAAGCTGAAAGGAAAGCTACTGATTTTGTAGATAAAAATTATCAGTTTAGGCCCAAAAAAATACTTCTGCTTCCAGTTACCCGACCGACCCTAATTTTAGGTTGCGACCCTAAAATTTGTATTGGCAATTCTAAAAAAAAACCACCATAACAAATAAAATTTTGTTGTCTTTTCTGTCTTCACAAAATACCAATCAACAACCCTCTTGCGTCAAAAAATGCTTGTATTTATTTGGTTTTTCTACTTACATTCGCTATTTTTTTCAAAAGAAACCTCCGTTATGTTTACAAATTCGCTAATTTGCGATATAACTACCTCGCAATTCGATGTCACGGTGACTAAACACGTGCGTAAACCTAGCTCAATGCAGCGACGACTGGTTCCCGCCGCGCCGCGCAGGGGCCAATTAAGCACCGACCGACCCTATTTTTTGAAAGGCATGTAAAATCGGAAGCAGAAGGTTTTTTTTTTCGGCCTTATCCTGAAATCACGACTAAACAAACACCAAACTGCTTGCTTACCAACAAGGTTGACTTGAAATATAGATCTTCAATTATTTGTCTTGAAGGAATGCATGCATGCTACGTATTTCCATGATCTATATACATTGTTGTTGTATTGTCACAGAGTTAATTAAAAAGCTTGATGGTTAAAATCCCTGGGAGGTTGCAACTCTTGGTGAACATTTACAAGGGCGGATCCAGAACACAATTTTTTGGGGGGGGCCAAAAAAAATTTGGTCCCCCCCAAAAAAAAAGTGGGTCTAAAAAATTACGGCGTGGGGTTCGGGGCCCGTGAGGGCCCCGAAAATTTTTTGGATTCTAGATGCTCTGTGGTGCGATCTGAGGCAATTTCTGAACACTTTAACCAATTTTTTTGAGGAAAAGATGGTGGTGTACTCATTGCCTGCCTTTATTGCGATGTCACATTAAAAAAAAAAAAAAATTGGTTTCGTTTTTTTGGGGGGCCATGGCCCCCTTTGGCCCCCCCCCCTGGATCCGCCCTTGAACATTTAAACAGTTTTCTCAGGTCGGCGTTGTGTTCCCCTCACTTACTTGTATTGGTACTTGGTTGATTTCCTCAAGGAAACTTCCACGGGGGAATATTACGAGGATGATAGGTTTTGAGGAGGATGGTGGTCGTGGTTTTAGTGTTGGCCTTGGGTAAAGTTTTCCCGTGGTGTTCTTAAAACCATGCAGGTTTGAAGGAGAATCTATGACGTATTGTGGAAGAATATTCCCGTCTCTGGTGGTTGAATATTCCAGTCTCTGGCAACCTCGTCCCCAGCGTTTACTTTATTTCCAACCTTGTTTTCAATAGTAAGAGAGAGCAGGTAGTGGTGGGCGCGTACTGCTCGACACCCTGGGGACGAGGTTGGGTCTCTGGCGGTTCAGGGGAAGAATGAATTGGCCTAGGTGGCTGTTTTGTGCTGACTTGCTGGGATTGCTTGTTATGACCTTTTTGCGGTCTATCTTGGTTTCCTTATCCGATCCATGTATGATTTGCTCATCTGGAATTTCACTACGTATAACAGGCCTTTGGGAAGGATGGAGGATAGCCAATAAACCATGGGAAGACCAACCCTAACCCCCCCCCCCCCCCGTAGGCCTTTTTGCTAAGAACCATCTCCAATCCTCCAAAATCCTCCAAAATTTTTGCAACACCACCTAAATTCTTCAAAATTGTCAGACAGTCCTGCCTCAAAATGCATTCATCGTCAATCCTCCAAAATCCTCCTCATCCCAAAATTTTGCACTCGTGGATAACCAACGCCTAAATCCTTCAAAATCATCAGACAGTCCTGCCTCAAAATGAATTGTTTGTATCTGATAGAACCAATCACTTTCTGTATATACATGCGCAATCTGCATGACATATCTATTTAAAATTCCCATTGTTTAAGTTTAAAATGCATCTGCTTACATCTCGTCTCAAATTGCCGATTGCACAGTGCTAACTTAACCGATACAAAATACTGTTTAGTTGCCTTAGCGTAATAACGTTTCTCAGTCTCACACTGATCATGCCTCCGCCTTCTTGTTCCCTCCAGCCACGCCCCCTCCTGTTCCTCCTGATGTTTCTCCATCTTGGATGACTTTCTGCAACAACAAAAAATCTGATTATTGCATGCACCGGTTTTCATATCTCTCATTAAACAGGTATGGGGGAATGGGTTAGAGGTCGACAAACTTGCACAGTTAAAAACAGTTACACCAGCTTGTCAGATATATAAGATTTTTTCCCCAGAGGGAATGAACCACAGTGGGATGTAAATGTAGATGTATATAGGCCCTTCCTAATAGCGACCCGTTTGAGTAGCGTAAAAGTTCATTGAATTCACACAACTTCTCGCAATTTTTCATTATTTTGTCCAATACATGCAAGGATAATCGACATAACGCAGTTCAGTATTGTAGCAGCATGGAGATGTTTTCCTACCTCCAACTATAGAGGCGAGTAAAAAAAAACGAAACCCAGATGTCGGAACCATTGTTTTAGTGAAGTTCTGGGTGTAGCACTTTCAAAATCTAGAATTAAAAGCCCAATTCATAAGCTTTCTTTTAGTACAAGAATCATTCAAATCACTCATGTAATTTTCAAGTTACGGAATTTTAAACACAACCACCGTTTTAAAGTTTTGTCCAATGGCACGGATCACAAAAAGGTAAGTGTTCTTTCAGCAAAGTGAAAACAAATCACGTGTGTGTGTGAATTGTTTTCGTTTTGCTGAATGGGCGCACACCTTTTTTGTGATCCGTGCATGGACAGAACTTTAAAACGGCGGTTGTGTTTAAAATTTGAATGATTTGAATGATTCTTGTACTAAAGAAAGCTTATGAATTGGGCTTTCATATCCTAGATTTTGAAAGTGCTATTGCTACATGCAGAACTTCACTAAGACAGTAGTCGCGACATTTGGGTTTCGGGTTTTTTTACTCGCCCTGTACATGTACTAGTACTAGGTTCTGGCGCCACAAGTTGCTTAATTCGTGCTTACCAGCAGGCCTTTCGTTTTCTTAATATCTGCCATGAGCGACTTCTTCTCTTTATGCAAGTGTGCGACGTATTTGTCCAGGTTTTCCCTGTACTTTTTCCTCTTCTTAACCACCTGGTCTGCCATCTGAACCTCTCCCGTTTGGATCTTGAGTTTGTCCTGCTCCTCCCGGAGTAGCCTCAGAGTTTCGAGTAGCTGCTCTCTCTCGGCTTTTTTCCTGGCCGTCTCGATGATCGTTTCGTCGGCGAGGGTCTGGCGCCGTCTCGCCAGGTCTTCCGTCTCGTTGAGCCGTGCTCGCAGAGACGCTCCTGTTTCCACGGACTCGCGAAGTCTGTCGAGGCACTGAGCGCTCTGGCTCGTCAAGTTAATGTTCACGAAGCAGTTTTGGAGGATGATTCCAAGCGAAAACAGGGAAAGCAGAAGGGGCCAGTGCTTCGAAGTCATTCTTCTAGTTACGAAGAGCCAGGGTTCACTTTTAAATTACAAAAAAATAACCTCCCCCAGTTCACAAGGATGGAAAAAAAGACCGATCGTGTCGTAGGAATGCATGTACTGCCTCACTAGTTGCATTGGACCGGCGATTTGTGGACGTGGTATACTCCATAACAAAGACAAATGCCAGATTATTACGTTGCTGCTCTAGTGTACGACCTCCAACTAGAACTGCCATCTGCTGCCCGGATGAGCAAAAATGATCAATACGATATCTTCACCTTTGCCTTCGATGGTCGTTGATCCAGTAGGAAGTGTTACTATTTGTCACGTACTTTTATGCAACTACAAGTTCACAATTTGTGTATAGTCTCTCTTTGTATCTCTGCACTGTCTATTGTTTTCTGTCGAATATAATCAGGGGTGTGAGTGACCACTGATAAAAATAGCTGGAAAAGGTGTTAAAAAAATGAACTTTGGAAATCTTTTGTACACAGCAAGTGAGGGGAAAAAGCTGAAATCCAAAACAAAAAAAGCTGAAATCAGCTTTAAAGCTGAGATTTCACACCCCTGTATAATTTTATTTCTAATAATCATGAGCGATCCCTACCTGGTAAGCAAGGAAGGGGACATTTCCGATCTCTATAAGAGGATAATCAGACTATCAGAGGGCCCGTTCTAACAACACTGGTATATTTCTCATCCGGAAGGTGCGTTGAGGATTGATAATAATAATAATGTGTATTTATATAAAATAAAGCGCATATATCCACCAGTATTGGTGCTCAATGGAATATACATCATTTGCTTTTGCTGTAATTTTCAGAAATAAATGGATTTGGGGCGTTGGTAATATGTAGCAAATATTGTTTCAATGACTTTTTTGACGTTTTTGGATTCGTAGATGCTATGAAAACCAAAAAAAAAAAAAACAATCATTTTCCAGTAGTCTGGATCACTGACTCCATTTAAGATGAAACAGAGCAATAATTTATAGACACTAGGGAATTGTAAGGTCAGGGAACCAGTCTAGCTGGCTTGTACCCATTCATAGGTATGTAATCGATAGCAAACAAATGTGGACTAACTAAATATGGTCAATTGTGGCCAGTATTGAGCCAGTTATTCCAACGCTGGTCGGCCGACCAGCGTTGGAAATTGATACGAAAATACCATTTTTCTTGAAAATGTCAGAACACCAGGTGCCACGGTTTTACAGGATGCTTTAGACTGTCAATCACCAACAGCCTCCAGCAAGGTATTTCAAAATAATTTGGTAGTTTTATTTTTTGATGTTTGCAAATGTTGTATTTTCCCTTTAAACTTTTTGAAACACAAGCCATAGGGAGTAAAGCTCCCGTTGTTAACAAATCTTTCCAATAAAAAAATGATTACAACAGTTGGATTTTTCTGTTGTTGTGCTTTCCGGAAAAGATTTGTGTGGAGTCCGTTTTTTTAGGAGTTAGGGATCTGCCATTTTGAACCTACGGATACAACATATAGTTAGCACTCATTATAGTTATGTCGAATTCCCAATGAGCATTATGCGCTGGAGTTACTCAAGCTATCTCTAACTAACGTTATATATTAGTTTGATATGACTGAAACAGTGGATTTTGTTCTCAATATAGGCCTGCTTGGAGCAGGGCCAGCGCCAGTAACTACCTCAAAAAGCACACTTCCAAGAATAAATGAAATTGTGAACAGCTACCGTACAACAAAAACAGCTTATAGGGGCCTATACTTATGAAGAACATACTCACGGGGAAGAGATTTCTTGCGAATACCCATTACCCTCTCAGTATTATAGCATTCACTGTTTCAAAACTTACAACACATCAACTACTAAACGGCGGGATGCACTCGACATACACCGTGTACGTGTAATCAATGCGGACGTAGTTTGCCCAACAGTTTTGGCATGACAAAAGTGTAATACATTGGCGTACACGTACAAAATGCGCCTATCCATGTATCAATAAGTGGCCACCGAAGTGACCGAACGGTGATGCTCAAAATACATGAAGAATTAAAACGAAATAAAAAAATAATAATAATATATAAATTTATATATATAGATGTACACACGAGAAGCGACCGTAAACGTGTGGTGCGGGGAAATATTTAAAAAAAAAAAAAAATGGGAAAAATTGATTCCGCCCGGGCTTGAACCGGGGACCTTCCGCGTGTTAGGCGGACGTGATAACCACTACACTACGGAATCGGCTGAAAAACGGCTGTGCTTTTAAAAATATAAAGAAAAATTCTATTGTGTGCAACAGAAATGTAGAGCTTTGAGCTGCATCTTTTGCTTTACTGAGAGATATTACATGGAAACTATAAACATAACATGTCCATTTTATTTGAGTGTTTATAGAGCAAATGGAAGCGATTTGATAAACCATTTGCACAGCGCCATCTACTGTTCCACTATGGCCATTCATATTAGACTGGTTCCCTGCCGGGTCCCATTTTTTCGCGGAGCGCGCTGAACTATGTCTTCCTATATATAGCGCCACTCCCCTTATTGTGGTTACGTATATGCTTATATTTAAAAAATGAAAAATCATCAATCCATTAAATTTAAAAGTAAAACATATGACGTTCCCCTTAGTAATGTTTCTGCTAATATTTAAACACGCCTATTCAATTTATGATGCGAACGAGCTGTGGTATTGTTCACCCCGCGGACGCCCTAGCATGGGCGCACCCAGGATTTGGCTGGGGGGGGGGGCTCAAACAAAAATATCTCAATTTTTTTAGAAGTTAAATATTGAATAAAGAAAAAAATTGGGTTTTTTTGGAGGGGCGGACTATTTTGACGTTGGTGGCGCCACTTGCACCTCTATTATACTCTTTATGTCTATGATTATACTACTCGAAAATAGGCCACATACATATCACCAAGGTCAAATCGTGGGACTAAAAAAAAAATACCAAAAAAACAAAAAAATTGACAACCTCTTGGGGGGGGGGTGTCAAGCCCCCCGAGGCCCCCCCCCCCCCCCCCCTTGGGTGCGCCCCTGCGCGTGCGGCGCGCATGACGTGAGCAAAATTAGAAGACACTTCGGTATTTTTTGCCCCATTAAAGTACATGTACTTATATATGATGTTAATCTGCATCGAATTTATATTCCTGCTTCAATTTCAAAAACAAAAAGGTAAAAACCAGAAACTGTTTGTCTTGATTAATGGCATCAAATACTATCCACTGGCTCATGATTACTTCGTTGCTATGTAGGCATACATAATTATGGCTTATCGGCGGCTTAAAAAAGGGCACACTCACTTTTAACCAATCTGAATGCTGCAACATTTATGAAAGAAAATGACATGACAACGTTTCCTGCGGAGATTGTGCGAGGGTCGAGGACATATTGTCAATATAGGGGAACGGGCCAGCTAGGGAGTGGGGTGCTAGTTGGATGGAACGCCCAATTTCCGTAGAAACTGTCATCTCCATGAAACCAATATTTCCGGGGATAGGGAGAAATATTTCAAGGGATGTGGGAAATGGGGTTTGTTGGGGTGAGCTTGTCTTACATACGCAGTGTGGACTTCCGAACAAAAGACGTCCACATAATGTAGGTAGCACCGACGTTGTGTGGACTTACCCCACGTCCACACAGTGTTTCCCCATTTCTGGAAAACAGGTTTAGAGGCATTTTTGGGTTAGGTTTATCTGTAGCAGAATGAAGAGAAACACTAAAGGGAATCATAGAAAAAAAATTGGGTTGAAAGAGTTTTCACAGTTTGAGAAAAATGAGTTTTTTCACTGGTTTTTCTTAACTACACGAAAGCAATGGAAAGTCCACACTAGTCATGTGAAACAAGTATTTGTGTGTGTGTGGGTGTGTGTGTGTGTGTGGGGGGGGGGGGGTGATATTGAAATCGCTGATATTGTGGAGGTTTTTCTTTGTGCTGGGCTTTATACGGTTTTAATGTGGTTTTAATTAGGAACGTCCCGCTCTTAATTCAACGGTTGAATGAAATTAATTACTTATTGCCGACCGATGTTCGCGTGCGATGTCTCATTAAAAAGCTCTCATGTTTTGGTAGAAAATGTTTTGGTTTGACGTTGGTGGCGCCACTTACACCTCTATTATACTACTCGAAAATAGGCCATATACATATCACCAAGGTCAAATCGTGGGACTAAAAAAAAAAAAAAAAAAAAAATGACACGCGCATGACGTGAGCAAAAGAAGACACTTCGGTATTTTTTACCCCATTAAAGTACATGTACTTATATATGATGTTAATCTGCATCGAATTTATATTCCTGCTTCAATTTCAAAAACAAAAAGGCAAAAACCAGAAATTGTTTGTCTTGATTAATGTCATCAAATACTATCCACTGGCTCATGATTACTTCGTTGCTATGTAGGCCTACATAATTATGGCTTATCGGCGGCTTAAAAAAGGGACACACTTGGTAGACTTTTAACCAATCCGAATGCTGCAACATTTTATGAAAGAAAATCGAAAATTGCCTTCTCAATATATTTCATGTATTCATTTACATGAAATAAATTGAGAAGTCTCTTTTGAACAGGTGTATCGACCAGGGGCGGTGGAACGCTTTTTGCAGAGCCGTTCTTCTAAGTATTTGTTCGCCCTCTGTGTAAACATCACAAGTAATCAAGAACCGACATTTCAATTTTATCTCTTTTTATTGACACATGCAGTTTAAATAGAACATTAATATTATAAAGTATAACATATTAAATACAGGGTGACCCCAGAAAAATGTAATCCTGAAACATTTGCTTTTTTTCCAAAAACGTGATTGGTGAATTTTTATGTTTTGGATATCTGATTAAAGCTGCAAACTTTTTCTTTCAAATACTGAAAAAAGTCATGAAAATAACACATTGGGTTGCTGAGAAAATGTCTATTATGTTAAAGAAGTGATTTTCCAATATTGTAATAACTATTATATAAACCAAAAAAATCATATCTTGAACAAAAGTCTACATTTCGTTCTTGTTTAACAAAAAATGACATTTATCCAAACATATTCTTTTTTTTACTTTAATGCTATGACCTTTCAATCAGGTCTAACAAACATTGTTTATCATCAAGGGTGAGTTAAAGGGTAGCCTTTTCAGTAATTTCAACTGCTATTCTTAAGGGCCCTAAATACATTAAAATAAGTTATTGAATTAAGTTAAAAAGGTATAAAGAAACCAGTGAAAACAGTTAACAAACCAAAATTCTTTAAATAATTAAAAAAAAAAATTATAAGTTAAAAATTTTAAAATAAAATATACATAAAAAAGTCAAAATTTACGTAAAATCAAACATGTGAAAAACAAAACGAAAGTAACAGGATCAAAACTATTAAAACAAAGGAAAGAAAATGCTTAGAAATCAACATTAATATAAAAAAGCAAGCACGATGAAGTTAAGAGATCAAACAAAGCAAGAAAAATACATATGAATGTTTATAAATTGTAACCACAAAAGGCATTAATATAATGAAACAACCAAAGTTCTGAACGAATGGAATCATAGTATATTAAAATTAGAAATCAAACGAGCTAGAAACAAACACAACAGCTAACTACACCCCCGAAAACTTCTAATAGTTAAGAGAAAATAATACAAAATGTAGACAATTTTATGGAACATCATCATTTCAAAAATAGAGCCATCACGATCATGCATGGAAAATATCAAAAACAGGACAAAAGGTAAGTTTTTAATGAATGAATCAGAACTAAAACAGTTAAAACAATAATCAAATTATACTAAAATGATGGTAAAATAAATAATAATATAAAATCATGCATAAAAAGATGTTAAAAGATATATAAAATAGAAATATAAAATACAAAACAAATATAACCAATTAAACTAAATCAAAAATAAAAGGTTAAAACAATAAATCAATGAAAGAGAGATAAGAAGGACAACATGTATTGTTATACCTCTGTCTTGAATACTGTATTTTCATTGGCCTAGAACGATCACGTGTTAAGATTATAAAAAGTCATGGCACACTCCCTGTGGGATATCACGTACGTGATATCCCACAGGGAGTGTGCTATGACTATTTACGGTACGTACGGTGTGAAACGCTTGTATCGTTGGTACCCACGCTATTTTTACCATGTTTTCACACATGAGTGGGAGCAGCGAACTAGCAGACGATCAGCTGTTTCGAGCACGCGACATGCATGTGAGTTGACGTTCGACTGTCATGATTGTTGTGTTTACTTCTGTTTGTTTTCGTGATTGTTACATCAAAATCCAAAGAATGCAAGACAGAGGTATAATAACAAAACAATTGTTGACTGATGTGATATATGACGTTTGAACACCCGAGGGGCGCATAGCACCGAGGCGATTAAAGTTAGTAATAAGAGAACTTTCAAACTTGGATAGTGATTCGACTATGTGAGGTGTTTAACTTGTTCCATCCCAAGGACAACTCATTGGAAAGTGCATTTACCTGCATTGGTCTTATAGGAACTTAGGACATGCATACTGAGCAATTGGACAGAGATTGGGTGCCAATAGGCCTGAGACCTAATGACGTCACACTTTGTTTACATGTGCGCTTTCCTATGTGGTAGACGGTCGATCCCCACTTTGTCTGGCGTCCCGACTTCGCAACCATAGGAGAGCGCATATGTAAACAAAGCCATTGCGTCATTAGGTCTCAGGTCTATTGAATGAGTTGGGCCTCAAAACGAGAGTTGGGATAGTGCGGGTTAAGTTTGTTAATACATTTGTAAACTTCACACATTCTGTTATAATGCCAGCGAAGAGGGAGTGCAGTCCATGAGAGGGCCTCATGAAGTTCAGCTATAATTGTATGTGTCCTATAATCAGCAGTGAGGATTAATCTAGCGAGGCGATTGTGCAATTTCATAAGCCTCTCAGTATTACCGTTTGAACAACCGGACCACGCAACGCTACAGTAATCGAATAAAGGCAAGACCATGACACTACTATACTAAGCATTTTAAATGTGGAATGGAGGCAAGGTTTAGCAGAACGTAGAAGAAAACCAATTTTATTGAAAATTTTCTTAGCGATGAAGTTAATTTGAGCAGACTAGGATAGACATTCGTCCAACATTACACTGTAAACCTTGACGCGTGTGATAGTCGCTGACGAGTGAGGAGCATGAATTTAGTTTTGCTAACGTTAAGGGTAAGCTTGTGTTCATGTAACTATTGCTCACTTGTTCCAGGCCTGTGACCATGTCCTTGATAAATGCTGAAGAAGTGCCGCTGAACATAATTATTGTATCATCTGCATTTATTTTGCACCGAGGAACGGTAATGCTTGTTGGGAAGGAGTTAATATAAACAGTAAAAAGCAAGGGCCCCAGGATCGAACCCTGAGGTACCCTAACATTGGCTAAATCAGAGAGAGCACCGTCTACGTGTGTGGCTTGGATTCAAAGTAAGATTCAAACCATCTCAGGTCGAGGCCCACGACCCGGTAGCCAGTCTGCAATTTTGACAACAAGATTTCATGGTCAACAGTGTCAAAGCTAGGCCGTTTTTAGGTCCACAAGAGAATAGCACCTGTCACACTACCTGCATCCATGTTGTGCAAAATAAAATCAGCAACATCCAGAACTATTGTTTGGGTACATGCTGTGGTCTGAACCCCCGCCCGATTGCTGATCTGCAAAGAAATTTTTCTTACCAAGAAAATCGCGAAGTTGGTTATTTACAGCCTTTTTCACAGAACTTTAGATACAAGAGGGAGCTGAGATGGGTCTGTTGTTTGTGACATGATCACGATCACCACCTTTGAAAATTGGAGTGACTCTGGCTGTTTTCCATTTCTGTGAGACGATACCTGAAAACAAAGATTTGTTGCTTAGGTATGTAAGCGATGGGCATATGGCTGGACATGCAGCTTTTAGTACCTTGATTGACATACCGTCAGTGCATGTTGCAACAGACGGATCCATTTTAAGTTCATCTGTTTTTTAACAAAGGCGACTGTTATGGAAGAAAAAGCAAAGTTATCTGCATTATATCCAGAGTGCCAACTGATGGGTATATAGTTAAACTGATTGGTCGTCCCGAAGCGCACTATTATAGCGAGCTCAGCACCTATATTGACAAAGAAGGATTTAAAGTTATTGCTAAGGAGAGCTTGTTCAAACAAGATGGTAAGGGAGTGTTGTTTTTTCTTAAACCTCGCTTCCTTAGCCAGGGTCCACAATTTCTTGAAGTTTCTCTGGCTGTTGTTGATTTCACTTTCACAATAATTTCTTTTTAGGAATTTTGCCAAATTATTGGCTTGATTTCGCAATTGCTTATCAACAAGCCAATCCTCGTGTTTCGAGGTCTTTTGAACTTTAGCCCTCATGGCATCCCGTTTACGACCCAACTCAAGCATTTGTTTTGTCACCCAAAAGGCCATATATTTCTTCTTTGGCGAATTTTCCGATATGGCTCATGTCCATTGCAGGCTTCATTAAACACTATTTTGTTCCCACATGTCCCGAACTTCATCGATATCATCTGTGTGGTTTGAATAAGTTCCCAAGACACATCAAACAACTCATTTAAAAACTGATTTTCGTCAGAGTGTTAAAAGTTTCTTATTTCGGAAACCTTGGGAGGAACTTTAATATGTACATTTGTTTTCCTGTTAGGCAAAACCATCGAGTGATCATTTAGCCAGAGAGGGAAGACATTTGAGACAGTAATTTTGTCTGGGTGTGAGAAGAAAACAAGATCAATATGTGCTGGAGGTTGGTGTGACTCTTGTTGGACTGTACTGTCAATCGGTTGTTTAACTTGAAGTTCACAACAGAAATCGTCAATGTTTGAACGCTCTGCATCATCAAACATAAATTAAGGTTAAAGTCACCAACCATGAGCAATTCCTGGTACCCTAAAGTAATTTGATTCATCACGTTTGTAAGATTAGGCAGATGTTCACATCGTTTGTATGGGAGGTAAATAACACCTAAAACAATCGGGTTAGAGTTTTTCTGTTTAACCTGTATCCAGCGAGATTCGATGTCACTGTGAATGTCTGACATATTGCGATAAGGAATGGAGTAAGAGGTGTAACATGCAACTCCACCGTGCTGGTTTGTGTGCCCTCACAATCATTACGAATTACAGTGCAACCTTCGATGTTAATTTCAGCATCATCGATACGACTATGGGGCCAAGTTTCACTAAGGGTGAGTAGGTGGATAGGGTGCTCTGCCAAAAAGAGACGCAAGTGTTCAATTTTTGGAAAGAGGCTTTGCACATTTAAATGTGCAATTTTCAACCCTCGGATATGTTGGAGCTGGTCGAGCTTGGCATTTTTCTCTTTGCTGGGCATTTTGTGCGAATACTCTGCATTGGTATTATTTTGAATGTTCGAGCCACGCTATACCCTCAATATCACCCTTTACCAGTATATCTTATGTTGTTTTATTAAACACGTGTGTAACATATGATCTTTAAAAAAAAAAAAATTCTTGAAAGGGGATTCTTGAAAAGTGTATTTTAAGTCCATCAGCAATGGTATCAAGTCAAGAGACGCAAAAATGTGCTGAATGTTCCACAGGTTAGTTGTTTTACACCCCACGTAAGATTTTATGCAATTTTGTTGTTTTCAACGAACAAATGCACCAAAGGAATATAATTATGATCCTACATGTATAATTCCAAGTTGGAGGCAAAACATCTAAAATGTGAGACTTTTTAGGATGGTCGAGAAATACATCAAGTACAGCAAATTAAGGAGGGCCAGCTTATTGATGTGAATCAAAGCAAACTAATGCTTAACATCGCCCTTTTAAGTAAAAACAACAACAACAACAACAAATGTGTAGCTAATATTTTCGTCCAAAAGATATCTGCTCGCTGACAATGACTGAGGAAAATTAGAGTAGAATAAGACAACTGTTATTTTGATTTGGAACCGTGGAAGATGACGTAGAGGTTGTGCATTATAGTTTTGATCATCTTCAAAAATGATGACGAAAGATTTACCCACAGCAGTTAGATTGTTGCAATAGGCCATAATTTTTAGTGTACACGGTTGCTGAGCTTGCTCTAAGGGCGTCAATTGGGTAAAACTAGACGTGAATGCCGAGTTATTGATGAAGGTTTAGAAGTTTGCTGCTATTGAAGAATTACATTTTTGCAAAGTTAAAAAAAAATTATATGGCATTTCGCTGCACACTATTTCGACATGACTTGCGTTAGTACATGTTATTACACAGCACACAAAATGAGTTGAACAAGTATTTGCAAATGGTTCCATTTTTCAATTTGCTTAGGTTTGTTAACAACCCCTTCACTTTTGCGAAACGCACTTCCAGTCGAACTTGTTTCATACTGGATTCAAAAACAGGCCCGAATGTGCTCTGCAGGCAATCCCTTTCGTTTGGGGCACTGAACTGCTTGAAGAAATCTCCTTGGGGTAAAACTTTCACACTGTTTTTAAAGTTGTTAAACCAAGTATGAAACAATAATGCTTCGAATGCGGAGACATTTCCGTCTTTTGGAGATGCCTGCCATTCAGAAGCCTTTAGGATAGCAGTCTCTAGGAATGGATGACGTCTCTCGAACCTCATAAATGAAAGATCGAATGAATTCTGCTTCTCACTTCCCCAAACTAGAGTATTTATCAACGAGAGATCGAGTTGTCGCAAGAGGATAACATCTGCGTCAATGTACACCCCACCCCATTGGAATAGTACCGCCAGTTTTGCAAAGTCTTCTTCGTTTAAACCGGATCCAAATCTCCGGAAATGTTTGATATCAATTTTGTTTTTCATTATGTTATTAACAATGTTGGCACTGAGGCCGTGTACTTCAATTGTGTAACCGGACTCTGTTAATACATCAAACTGGCCTGTCTGTAAGTTATCACTATGAATGATAATCCTAGCATGCGGATAATGATAAAATATCGATTCGATGGTTCGCCATTTTGGCCAGTCCAGGCTTGTAAGGTTTCTGGTACGGTTCAGGATTAAATGGAACACTAATTGATTCGGCGTGTTTGTGGCGGGAGGTGATAGGGGTAGCAGGCCAAATTTACGAGCGCTATCGTACAAAACTAGGTCCTGTCGAATCACATTCCAGTCCGTGGCCCGAAGGCGCATGCGCATGCTTACGTCGGGGTTCGGCGGGGGCTTTCTCCAGTTGAAATCACGCAGCCATTGCGCAATCGATTCTTGAGACATATTGAAGGCATCTATAGTGTGGAAGAGAGTCGTAAGTCCCGTCACACGGGGCGACACTTTCAAACCACGTTCTGCGCCTCCCCCGGGCATGCGATTGAAATTGATGAAAATAACCGGTGTTCCCATGGCAACACAAGGTAGTGCGCAATGGACGCGTTGCGTAATAACCACACGTGCCTTGGAGTATTTTTGTATCAAATTGTATGCTGCTTGAAAACGTCCCTTGTTGGTAGATTTGCCGCCACCCTTACCTTTATAATGCATGACACGAATCGCTCTCCGTTTAATATCCGGGGGGAGAAGGGCAGCAAAAGCTTTCTCCACGTCGACCAAGAATATTTGGCCTGAACGCTTGTCTTCAATGTTGGGAGTTTGGATGAGGAGTGTTAGGCAGCCAGAAAGGAAGGCTTCAACGTTGTTTTGCTTCAGAAACTCCAGAGTGTCAGAATCCCTGCATCCTATTGGTTCTTTAGATTGAAGGTATTTGATATATTTTGTGAACATTGGCCTGACTCGATTATGAATATGCACAGACAGCGTGATGGGGTCGATGTTACGCGGTGGGGGCCAAGTCATCCCTGCATCTCCATACCACGCGTTGAAAAACATCCGGATATGAGTATCCCTCTTTGCTTTATTAAAGTTATCTCTATCAACAAAACGGTCAACGAAAGGTAAGAATTGTATCCCAGGGAAACTTTGTACCTCATCCCCAACATTTGCGCGCTTAAATCGCCTTGCTCTGCTTGCGTACGAAAGTGTTCCGAAATGGCGTCTTCTTGCATCAACTACAGAAATCCTTTCGAGTTCAGTTTCTATGTGGGTGGGACAACAGTCTCCAGACATGCAATATCGGTGAAGCATGTTACCGACCAATCTCTGAAAATCAAACTTCTGCAACGAGCGCGGTTTTCCATTGGTAATATTCCGAGAGTATTCGCGACAAAACGCTTTGGTAAGATTCGCAATGAAAGCGCTGTGCACTGGAAACCGAGACACACTGAGAACTCCATGTGTTTTAGTTTGTGTGAGGTTTGTCCCAATACTAACCCAAGCCTCTTGGTGCCCTGGGATAGTGAACTCGCCGTGTTTGATCGAGGGATCGAAATGAATGCCACCATGATGCCATAACAGAGCTAACCTCACTGCCTCGTACACGTGATCTTCAAAGTCAACACCTGTCAGGATCTTGTGGATTGGATGTCGGGCTAACCAGAGCTCCAGAGGGGTCTTCTTAAAGATCTCTGGTAGCACTAGAAATTCCCCTGTAATCTCTGGGTTATGTGTATCTTGCACTGCCTTCATACACTGGGAGGTACCGCAGAATACCTTCACGGTCATACCGGGATTCCTATCCAAAAAAGCTTCAATGTTTTCTACAACATTGTATGGAATCGGTCGTTCATATACCCAAGCTGTAGTGATGACTTCTCTCGGTTGGTATTGTGTAAGTTGCATTTGTAATTGGTTCATGAGTGCATCAGATCGAAAGAATCCCACGAACCAACAAAATGACGAAATACCAAAGATGATGATGGCAGGAGAGAAACATCGCCGCATTTTCATTATCTGCATGAAAATGCGGCCTCCTTGATTATTATAATGTCCACTGAAGATGACCAAGAGACCAGTGACTGTCCAGAATGTAAACGGTGTAGAGAAGACAATCATATTTGCCAGAATAACAAACATTCTCTTCGAGAGGTTCAACATGGCATGTTCCACAGGACTAAATGCTTGGAGCACCATTATGGAGGCGGCGTTGTAGATGAAGTGGAAGGTGGCAGAGGTGAAACTCTCCAAACGAGGCAGTTTATCTAAGCTGCTCATACTCATGATCGCAAATGGAAGCAGAATCAGGACGTTCAAGTTAGAAACCACTGCAATTTTTTGAAGAGGATCATCCCAAGACTGACCCAACTTCTTCAGGTAGATGTTCCGTATCGGGAAAGCGATGTTAGAAATAACAGCAGCACCAAGTCCCCAAATATTGAAGGACACCTCGCCTGAGATAAACAGACATGTGCCCACCACCATGACGATGATTGAGAACAGCACGTTGCGGGTCAAGTTACCACTGTTCTTGTAAAACAGCAGTGCGAACACAAAGGTGAAGATTGGTTCACATGATTTGATGACTTGAGTTAGACTCGAACTGACTGCAGCAAAAGATGCGTTAGTGGCCAGATTTCCCACTAGGTTGCCAGTCACTGCAAGTAGCATGTGTTTGGGATTGATACTTTCTTTGGGAAAGACTGACTTGCGACGGAATACAAGGAGCCACGTGTTGGCTAACAGCGCCCCAAAGAGGTGTTGTAGCATTGTCAATTCAATCCACCTGAGATCCTTTAAGGCCGCTGTTCCTGTCCAAGTGGCCAGACTGTCAGTGGCGTCAGGCTTGATGCCACTCGCTGCTTTCTTTGATGATATAGTGGCAACCATGTTGGCAATCCACCAAACTGCCACAAACAGTACCACTGTAGCCATGCTGCTTCTCGTCGTGGAGTTGCGTAAGCTGTATACCTGCACAGCAGGGGATAAAAGACCCAAAAGAAAAGAATGGCACAAGTGAAAATAAGTGAGAAGATCACCCAAAGTAAAACAAAAAATAATAAATAATAAAGAAAAATTACCCTTATCATAAATCGAGAACATAGAGATAATTATTATAAGCCCTATGCAAACTTTAACTATCGACATCTTTGAGGAAGCCTCCACATTACGTTATACATCATCGGGTCAGCTGAGAATTTTCGACCAATCAACGGCCGGGCTAGGCGTCATTTCTTATCAAAATAAATTCACAACTTAGGCCTATATAAAGTCGTCAAAGATTGGTTGACGCACGGTGCTAGCGTTGCAATACGTATGCCCACACCATCCGCCCGTTTTTGAAAAGTGGGCTTCACCGAATTAAAGCTCCACTTATTAAAACATGTTAACAATAAGCCCCACTTTCCTTTTTCTTTGGTTGAGATTACTTGGAGCAATTGGGATATTATGTTGGCTTCAAACCATCCTGGTCATTAAAATAATTAATTGTTCACAAAAATGCACCCCGTCAATGTACAACTTCATTGTAAAAATATATAAAGCCCTCAGTTGACACACAGAAGTCTACAAAATAATCTCTGTTAGTCAGGTGGCATATGGTCGGAATCATGCCCGACTGGTCCAAAGCACCAAGCTTGGCAGATTCATTTGGGAAGGGTGCCTTTGCATAAATCGTTAATTATATTAGATTAGATTAGATTGAACTTTATTATCCCTCACGAGGGAAATTAAAAGTGCCTTGACAGAGAAACGGGTTATAAAAACATACAATCATTAATTAAAAAGATGTAATATGCAATATAGTTACCACAAACTTATATAAATCCAGTAATTACATGTAAAAAAAAAAAACTACTACATATATAAACATTATTACATTACGTCAATGAGGGATCAGAGTCAGCCACACGACAGCTTATCGTTCCAGTTGCTCATTGTACCATTTGATAGTTGCTGGAACGAATGAGCTGCCGTATCGCCGTGTCCTGATCCTTCGTTGTAAAAAGTGATTACTCCTGGAGTTGGTTTGGAAGTTGGAATGTAACGGGTGATGTGAGTCGGAAAGAACTGTCTTAATGTTATTGCACATAAGAGACCTGTATAATGCCTCTGGAGACTCTTGTTGTAAACCAATAGCTTTACTGGCTTGCTTAACTATTTTGTCTAACTTAATCCGATCCTGGCACCTCATATTTCCGTAAAAACAAACAAGACAGAAAGTGAGAATACTCTGTACAATGGACTGGTAAAACAGTTGTAAAATAGTTGTATCAACGTGAAAAGACTTGAGTTTGCGCAGAAAAACACAAACGCCTTGCAGCTTGTTATATTTTGACTAGGTGCGTCAGATTTCAATTGGTCATCAATTTCAGTTCCCAAGTAGTTGTATGTACAGACACTGCTTCCACACATTCGCATTTAATGATAGCTGGTGTAATTGGAGATTTATTTTTCCTAAAATCAATTACCATCTCTTAGGCCAAAAAAAATAAGTCTCCGGTTTCTGGTATGGAGCTTGTCCAAAAAGTGGTGCAGCGACGCGGCTTTTTTTTTTTTTTTTACCTGACTTTTTTGCTTCAAATGTCGGCTGATGACTGCAAATGGTGCCCGACTAAACTTAGTGCAAATATATGGGAGTCCAGAGAGGCCGCATAAAGCTTATTCTCGATCATAACCCCATCTTAAAACACTTTAAAATTGTGCAGTAGCAGGATTCCAGTCAAACCAGTGAGTTTGGCGGTTTTGAGACATCATCTTTCCGTTGAAAAAAAACTTTTTCATTTTGCCGACGCGCATGGCTACGGCGACGTGCGCGCATACCAGAAACCGGAGACTTTTTTTTTTTGGCCTAAAATATGCTAAAAGTGAATGATGTAAATCTTACAGAATAGAAACTCGAAATTTGGCCATTTAAATTGTTGTATCTCCGAAGGGCAAACACCTATGAGCCTGATTCAAACGCCATTGATTTTGTTGTGTAATTTGCTTTTCAGTGATACAAAACTTGAGATTGCTTTCTTTAATAAATAATATTCGCCGGACTCCCTACAATAGGAAACCCATTGCAAGCTGTACATTTATAAGCAAGGCACTCCAAAACTCAGTGAATTCAATTAAAAAGATGTTAAAACTCCAACATAATCTTAGCCTTGATTTAGTGATTTATATTTTATTTAAAACGTATTTTGATAGCTGGCCTCAGCCTCGGCCTTGGCCTCGGAGGTGGTGGCCTCGGCCTCGGCCTTGGCCTCGGAGGTTGTGGCCTCGGCCTCGGCCTCGGCCTCGGAGGTTGTGGCCTCGACTACAACACTGTTTAAGATACTAATAATCAATTACAAAAACTCTTTTGCCATAGAATTTGAACTTTTCTCTCGAACTTAAAAACAACATCTCACAATACCACATACTGTTTGCATGTTAAAACAAAGTGTCAATGTGACTACCCAAAATCCATGATTTTAGCCTAAAAAACATGTCTTTTGACCAAAATAAGGTTTTTTGACCCACAAAATCACCCTTTACTATATTCCATTCCCATGATATACCACTCAAATGAAAGAGCTTGCTGTCCCCTTTAATTTGATACCACATTTGTTGTTGTGATGCTTGTAGTTCTGAAGATTATTATCAATTTATATATTTTCATGTAATAATTAGCTGATGACGTCATAATGACGTCATACACGCCCTTCCCATCATCAAACTTTTTGCGTCTGTCTTTTTTTTCGAAAAGGTATACCATGGAGATGCTTTGGTGACAAATTGTGCTTTTGTCCACATGTGTCACGATTTTTTCACTAAGGTGCCTCACTATTAGCAATGTAAGTACAGCATCCTCTGCACTCCTCTGAGAACGGTAAACAAACTGGTACTCATCTAGAGAATCGGTGACAAAAGGCAATAATCTCTTCAATACAATTTTTTTCAAACGCTTCATTTTCCAATACCTGCCGTTTAGAATATTTATTCAAATATTTTGGTATATTTCTATTTTTAATTTTTTTTTTAAACATATATTTGTGGGGACTCTACTTAAACATCCTCACCTCAGTAACATTTTCTAAAGCATATCAGAGACCCGATGATTATGAGGACATAATAAAGATAAAAAATGGCTACAATTTTACCCTAAAATTGCGCGCATTTACTTTTTCCTCAGATATCATCAAGTAGTCTCGCCAAACGTCAGTATTGAAGAACTTCAAATTCACAAAGTTACTTACTGGCACAGTTACCCTTACAAAAAATAAATGGGAAATCATGTATAAAATGATAGCATCTTGATATTTAGCCCAAAACTCAAAAAAGGGGAAATATGAGGTGTCCGTAAATTGCGCTAAAAATTAGGCGAATGGTTGCCTAACGTGGGGGACTTGAACATATTCAAGGAAATCCCCCAAAATAAGAGATTATTGTTGTTTAAAATAATTATGTCTAAGCCAAAACGTTTTCTTACCGACAATTTTGGGAATTTCCTTGAACTTGTTCATGTCTCCCACGTAAGGCAACCTACTTTTTAGCCCAATTTACGGACACCTCGTTTTTCCTACGTTTTTGTTTTCCGGGCTGAATATCACAATGTAATCGAGGTTCACGTGATTTTCCATAAAGTTTCAATAGGGTAACTGTGCAATTAAGCAACTTGGTGAATTTGAAGCTCATCAATACTGAGGTCTGGTAAGGCTTCTTGATGATTTCTGGAGACAAGGTAAATGCGCGCAACTTATAAAGGGTATAATAGTAGCCATTTTGGATCGTCATTACTTTGTCCTCATAATAATTCAGTCAATTTTATGCTCTAGAAAATGTTATGGAAGTAAGGATGTGTATGTAGAATCAGCAAAATATACTTTTCAAAATATCAAAAAATCAAAAATACACCAAATATGGGAACAAATAATACACGGCAGGTAGGCTATCTACGATTTATGCAAATTAGGCCCCTTCCTAAAATAATTTCAGGTGTCAACCCTTCTAAATTCTTCTCTAGGGCTATAAGAAGCTATCTGCCAAGTGTGGTACTTTTGACCTGTCGGCCACGATGTTGTCAAAAATTGGGAGTAAGCCACCTGACTATGTGGTAACGCAGAATAGGCCCTGTTAGTACATAAAAATGCGCCCCATCAATGTACAATGTCATGGGAAAATGCAAATCGCACTTTGTTGTCGCACAGAACAATCTACGAATCTATGCACTTTTACATAGCCCTTGCAATAGCAATTACCTAAGATGAATTCTGTCAGAAATAACAGGGACATTTGTAGCAGTGTGATTCGGCTTGCAGTTCGACGTACGGACGTTTATTATGCCCCACACCATTCACTGCATAATCAACCTATCGCGGTAGAATCGCGTCAACGCAGCTTGTGAAATATTGTCCAATTACGTGATATAGGACGTTATTTCAACCAGTCAGATAGAGGTCACTTTTATGACCTCACACAGACGCAATAAGTTGGTCAGGTTTTGACGTCTAAATAACTTGCACTTACATGTAGTTTCAACCATAATACTGACCTTAATTCAAGCAATTGGTAAGACTGCATGACGTCATAACTTGACCATATGTTACGGACGTTAGATTTTCAAAAAGTTACACTTTCAACCATGCCCGGACCCCCAAAACAACGCCGGAATCGGTCGGAATCTGACGTTGGCGGATAGACGTTAAACCGACCAAATATACCTGCCGTGTTTCTCTACATTTCAGAGTACTAAAAAGTTATCAAACAGTACCTGGTTTGTAGGGTAAAATTATGAACCTGGACCCTGTCAATATTCCTTCATCAGCAAGGGTAGTTTTACCAGCTCTCCACGCCACTCCAGTTGTACATGCACGTCATCATAGGCCTAGCGTGATGTTCTGGCGGACCAAGGTGGCTGATTGCTGGCGTCCATACAAGTGCACATGCAAAATCAGCACGTAACGACTTGTCCAGTTAGGAGGTCAAACAACTTTGCAAACAAAGAAGTCATTGATGGGAACTTGGCCATGCATGGCTGCGGATATGCTGCTGGCATATATAGGCCTTCTTCTTCCATTGAGTACATCCCTCCATAATGGAGTATTGTCGCCTATACAGGGTGGTAAAAAAAAAAAGACTCCAACTTTTGACAGCAATTTTCACCTACTTTAATGAACTTATTTTCAATATTTGTTCACATAGTAGTAAAGTATGGGCCTTTAACTATGCATGGTGACAAAAGATTAGTGAAAGTCGCACACATAGTGATATCATGCTAATTTGAATACATAACACCAAAATCAGTCTTGTCCACGGGTTATTCTATGTAAATTTGACGTTTTCGTAGTTCATAAAAATTGAAAAAACCTTCCCACCAAAATATATTTTGTCATGGTAACTTTTTTTGAAGCTGTCCAATTATTCATGTCAGTGTTAAGATCATCTACTCAATGAGCTGTCGGCTTAAGTTCATTGTTGCATAACATTACATAACATAACAATCAAATGCCATGCCCTTTCAAATAAAGCTCCGATAGCTGAGTTCAGTCAAGCGAAGGGAATGAATACCTCCATGGACAAACAGGTTTCGCACATGAAATGTTCAAATTAACATAGCTCAACGACAAAATGTGCAAATGCAACGATTTGTTTCGTCACATTGGCTTAAAGGCCAGTACATTAATAGCTACTAATCGACAGTTAAAAATAATTTTTAAAAATAAGTGAAAATTGCTGTCAAATGTGGGTGTCCTTTTTTTAACCACCCTGTAGAGGCCAAAAAGAAAAATATTTGTGTTTGTATTTTCTCACAAAACACGTACCATGTCGCCTTGCGGGCAGACATGTAAGGAATTAAGTGCAGAGAGGCCAAGGCTTGGGGCAATAGGGTGCATATGTTCCCCAATACCTATTCCTCAATACCTACTCCGAGTGTTAAAGCATTAAATATATTTTCTTTGGGTTAGCCAAAGCGAGAATTTACATTTGAATTGAGTCAGCGGAGTGTGACATTAAGTACGGTATGGTTGAACAGGCGTGTTTAAGTCACTGACCGAATTCACCAGCAAGCAGTACGCACGTCAAATTTGTGTGTGTTCTTTTTTCGTGCCTAATTTTCGATAGAGCAACCATGTCCTCAAATGAACAATCTTCTTCTGCACAAGAAGCGCCTGTCTCCCTGAAACTTGTCGGAGATACCATCAAAGCAGCATTGGGAGATTTCAAAGGGTATTTGGATACCTCGCTCGCCTCATTCAAAAAAGACAGCGAGCGTAAGTAACAGACGACGTCGGAACAAGTACAGCAGCTGAAGCGAGCTTCGGAGCTGAGCTTTCGCTTCAAAGGAAACAAAACCCAATATGATTTCAATGCAGATATTGTAGAGAAATTAGGAAGGGCAGAAAATTGTCTCAAAGAAGACGACGGTGGGTCAGCAAAATCCCTGGTGACAGAGGTCATTGCAGATGTAAAAACGCGAAACAAGCTGATAAGACTAGTAGCCGATAAATCTGACGCAGGTTAGTGGATGGACAGAGTATAATAATATATTGTCATTCAAATGCTTTGTAATTAGCTCAGCCTTTTTCCTTTGTACTTGCCAAGCTTGGAATACCTGAGCTGATGATGAGTTTAAACTTAGCTTATTATTCAGCAAATACAAATAGTAGAAATTGTTTTTATAAAGCAATGCCTATAGAGGCATACTGCGAATTCTGTAAGATGTATTCAAGAGAGCCTAATGGGCTTTTGGTGACAATCTTTACGAAACAATTAGCATAAAACGAGAATTGCATTGACAGATTAGACACTAAAGATTCACCGATGCGTAAAGTACATTTCTTTAACCTATATCGCTATACCCTTCTTACAGGCTGGACAGCTGTAGATGAATACCTCAGTGACGAGCTCGCTAGTGACTCCGAGGATGACAAAAGAATCAGACAAGCTCAAGCACGGGCGGTACGGAAAAAACGCCTTCAGAAAAGCAGTCAGCTTGCGAACAAGCGTCAACGTCAAAATGCTACAGTGGAGCAGTTTTCTCCTTCTACTTCTGGCACTAGGCTTTTTCGAAGCTTTCAGCCAAACCGTAGATTCATGCCTGGGGCTACCTCAGCTTGGAGCGCAGGACCCAAGCCAACGGACTTGTGCTTCGCCTGCGGGAAACCAGGTCATTGGAGACGCAACTGTGGATAGCAAAGGCAGGCAGTGGTGGGAGGAACTAGAACCAGCAGGGGGTAGTACAACTCAGCCCCGACAGTGGTGAATCAGACGACTCACATAGTGAAGCAGAAAATGTAAATACAGAACATTATTGCTCAATTCCAAATACAAAAGGTAGCAATAACAATTTACATTTTAATCTTTATAATGAGAAGAACAACTTTTTAAAAATTCCCAAATCAGACAGAACAAGAGATCGTGATGCTTATTAACAGGCAACTATAAACCAATCTGGGCATGCTATCAATTCTATCACGAAGGCCCCCTTATAAATAGCGAAAGCATTGTGCTAGCTTTTGTTCAGATAATCCGTCACAAGGCAATTGCTTTGTACAATAGCGTGCACAATGGTTCCAACATTGAAGGGGTCCTCGCGAGTGTGTGGTGATCCCGTGCGCGGACAGCCGTGTGGTTGCGAACGCGAAAGCGTGCCGGTTGTCAAGCAAAGCTTATCCGATTACGCGTACGCACTTAAACGCTGTAACAGAGCAGTGTTGTAGTCGAGTACTTTTTTCTGAGTCATCGCGTACTTGCGTAAGAACGAAAATTATAACGACGCCAAGATTTACCTACCTACATCCGATGTATTCTAGATTTAGTCGGGTTGGCTTGAATACAGTTCCTATCAAGAGTCATTTAAGATTTGTTTGTAAATGAGAATTGGTCCTTCAAGTTTCATAAATGTTCATCTTTGTACGAGTGCTCCGAGTTCCACTAGTCCACATGTATTTTAGATTTTCGGAAGTGTCGCAGAGCGGACCCTTGCGCCGCTCTACTCAGACCAAAAACCAAGGAATAACTCAAAAGAACAGAGGACTCAACACAGGACTTATCAATCACAAAATTAAACTATTTATTACGAGAAAGAAATAAACCACAATTAATTATATACATCCGTTTGATTACCGGCCAAAATTATGTTCACAGTTTGTGTCCCCAGAATGTTTTAGTGTTCGCGTTACTTTGCCCCATTACAAACAACGTAAATCTGACACAGCTCTATTTATTACAATATAAGTATGACACAGCTCTATCAATTAAGACATGAGCATTTGGGTCCGGCTTGAGCGTCGCCGTGGGACGATTCCCCCAGGAACATGAGAGCTGGAGAACCCGGTCTGCTACAGAGGTAGGCCCCCTACGCACCGACCGTCGGAGTGTAGGTGGAGGTTCCCGTCACGTCCAACTTCAGTGAAAGTAAAGGACAGTGGCTGCCCCGCTAGCCATCGTAGGGTAGGATTACGGGAAGCCCTGTAATATCCATTAGGGCATTCTGATAAACATGCGAGTTGGACCAACGTTTTACATTAAGAAAATACACAGGTTATAAGTTGTTGAAATATTACAACTTCAAACAATGAACACGGTTTTCACTTTAAATGCCGCCATGAAACGGGATTCATCTTAAATGTGAAAATACAGAAAGACATTAAAATACAATGAATCTTTCTCAACAAAAATCAAATCTCCAAGCAAAACATGTCATCTTCCAAAGAGAAACCAAAACTTTTAAAACAAAACTTGATAAATATAAACTCATAAAAAACATTCTTCCAACTGTAAAACTATAGTATACAATACACACTACACAATAAATGATTATACATAACTAATAATAATAATTACTCACACGGCTTCGTACGGGCCTATCCGTGGGTCTGGCGTTCCCGGGAGATTGCGATGCGGTACTAACACAATGGGCCTCAATGGCCCACAAGCGGGATTTTTAAAAACTCCCCTCTCAAAGAGGGTACAAGAAGTCCGCCCGACACGCAGCCTTCGGCGGCTCCCAACTCGACAGCCTCAGCGCTGAAGGTCCACACCCCTCCGCTTAGCGAACACCCAACCCGGCGAGACACACTCACTCCGGCTCCCGCCCCGCAAAACTCAATCCAAAAACACGTGGGCGAGGTTTATACCCCTCCCCGGAATGCCAGTTACCCGATTAACCCAGTTCTGAATACAAACTTACTGGAGCTTGCACCACGACTGAGCCCCACATGGGTGCAAGCCCGGAATAGGTATGCAACAAAGGGAAAAGGAATTACGATTTGCATAATTCACCTAGCATAAACCTCAGACGTTACATAACACTTTACGGGAGTACAAATTTAGTCTATTAATAAATTAACTCGGAAAATAAAAGAAATAATTTTCACACGTCTTGTGACAGGAAGTTAGAGGTTAATTTTCAGCACTAAATTTCTCTTTCACGTCATGCGATTTTTCAGATTCTATAAATTGGGACGCTAGTCACAATTTTACAAAGACCTTTTCCGAGGGGGATATTTTTTTACATCAATGTGCCCAAATGTTTTTTTTTTTTAAACTCTGACTTTTACACCCTAATTTTCCTGTTCGAGGGGTCCGGAAGCGCGCCACCTGGGGTCAACTTTTCTGTATTGTCCATCGAAGTAATGGTCAAACTATAGCCATGTGCGCTATGGCTATACTGATGAATCTCATGTTAAATCCGACTACTTGTGATCGTTAATATATATTTAGTCACCTCTTTTTATTTACACAGGTTACATAGAAAACTAAATATAAGGTAATTATCCTCCTTTAAATGAATGTATTAATATCAATCTAAAACTTAAACTATTGTATAAACAAAACCTCGTACATTTCTCGTTAAACAAAAAATAAATCTACCCAAACCGAATGTTGTTTTTTTAATACCTTTTTATACTTTGAGCTTTCAATCAGGTCTATCACAAAGTTTTAACACAAACGCGCACACAACGCAACACGCACACCAGCATGCATTTGCACACAAATGCCGCGCCGTGGAAATAGTACTTTGGTTGCTAATGGTATAGTACTTTGGTTGCTACGGGTATAGTGCTTTTGGCCGTGCACCGAAAGATAGCAAAAAAGAAAGTATCATGTGACTCGCTCTCGGCTTATCAAGACACAGAACTGTTGGCGAGGTGTTATAATACCAAATACTCTATCAACTTTTCCGCATGAAATGGTATCGTTCGGAAGAAAACAACCATTGAAGGTGGTTTTCAAAAGTGCATTTTAAGTGCATTAGCAATGGTGTGGTGTCAAGTCACGACACGCAAAAGTGTGCTGAATGTTCCACAGGCTATTTTGTTCAATTTTGTTGTTATAAACAAAACAATCCACACAAAAAAGAAAATTATTATATGATCCTACGTGTCAAAGTCAAATAGCAGGCAAAACATCCAGAATGTGACACTTTTTAGGATGGTCGAAAAATACATCAAATATTGTTGTACACAGCAAAGTAAGAATGGCCAGCTCAATGATGTGAATTGTCAATCAATGCAAACTAATACTTAATATCCCCTTCTCAGTTAAAAAAAATGTGTAACCAATATTTTTCGTCCAAAAGATATATGCGAAGTACACACTGACAATGACCGGGGAAAATTAGAGTATAGAATAAGACAACTGTTATTTTGATTTAGAACGGTGGAAGGTAACAGGTTGTGCATAATAGTTTTGATGACGAAAGATTTACCCTCAGCAGTGAGATATATATTTATTTTTTTCAGTGCATACGGTTGTTCCCCCGTCAATTGGGTCAAAACTAGACGTAAATTCCAGGTTATTGAAAGAAAATTGCTGTTATTGAACCCTAAAAGGGCCGGGGGCGGAATCCGCCCCCACAGCTATTTCTTTATGCGATAGCCTTGAATTTTTTTTTTAAATGCGCACACCAAAAGAATATATGATCCTACGTGTAAATCCTCTCGAGGTTAGTTTCTGTGGTTGTGGGACAACGGTCTCCAGATATGCAAAATCGGTGATGCATGTCATTGACTGATCTCTGAAAAGGCCAAAAAAAGTCTCCGGTTTCTGGTATTGAGCTTGCCCCAAAAGTGGTGCGGCGACGCGGCTTTTTTTTTTTTTTACCAAAGAGCACCAAGGAATGGGAAATTGCACCAAGGCAAATGATCGAAAGCACCAAGGCAAATTATAGAGGACACCAATGTACATGAGGACACCAAAAAAGCAAAATAGTACCCCACCTTGTCTGTACAATCCAAGCTTGAAGAAAAAAAAGGAAAAAAAAAAAAAAAACCGCGTCGCCGCGTCAATTCCGGAACTTTGGTCTGACCAGAGACCGAATTTTTTGGGGGGGGGCCTAATAGTTTTGACTCAAAATGATGACAAAGATTTACCCACAGCAGTGAGATATATATATTCTTTTTCAGTGCATACGGTTGTTCTCTATTCAATTGGGTCAAAACTAGATAGAAGTTTGCTGTTATTTGAGAATTACATTTTTGCAAGTTTCAATTTGTTTGGCCATATCGCTGCTCACTATTTCGTCATGACTTGCGTTAGTAAACATTATTACACAGGACACAAAATGAGTTGAACAAGTATTTGCAAATCGTTCCATTTTGCAGTTTGCTCAGGTTTGTTAGTGATCCCTTCATTTTTGCAAAAACCACTTCACGTCGAATTTGTTTCATATTGGATTCAAAAATAGGTCCGGATGTGCTCTGCAGGCAATCCCTTGCGTTTTGGGCACTGAACTGCTTGAAGAAATCTCTTTGGGCCAAAACTTTCACACTGTTTTTAAAGTAGTTAGACCAAGTATGAAACAATAATGCTTCGAATGCAGATAAATGTCTGTCTTTTGGAGATGCCTGCCATTCAGAAGCCTTTAGGATAGTCTCTAGGAATGGATGACCTCTCTCAAACCTCATGAAAGAAAGATCGAATGAATTCTGCTCCTTACTTCCCCAAACTAGAGTATTTATCAACGAGAGATTGAGTTGTCGCAAGAGGACAACATCTGCGTCAATGTACACCCCACCCCATTGGAATAGTACCGCCAGTTTTGCAAAGTCTTTTTCGTTTAAACGGGATCCAAATCTCCGGAAATGTTTGATATCAATTTTGTTTTTCATTATGTTATTACCAATGCTGGCACTGAGGCTGTGTACTTCAATTGTGTAACCGGCAGTGTTGTAGTCGAGGCCACAACCTCCGAGGCCGAGGCCAAGGCCGAGGCCACAACCTCCGAGGCCAAGGCCGAGGCCGAGGCCACAACCGCGAGGCCAAGGCCAAGGCCGAGGCCACCACCTCCGAGGCCAAGGCCGAGGCCAGCTATCAAAACACGTAATAAAATATAAATCACTAAAACAAGGCTAAGATTGTGTTGGAGTTTGAACATCTTTTTAGTTGAATTCACTGAGTTTTGGAGTGCCTGGCTTACAAATTTACAGCTTGCAATGGGTTTCCTCTTGTAGGGAGTCCGGCAAATTTTATTTTTTAAAGAAAGAAATCTCAAGTTTTGTATCACTGAAAGCAAATTACACAA